GGTCCCGGGTCCAGTGAAGCATTCTTTCCTCCCCTGCCAGCTTCTGGACACCAGGACTCCCTGTGCCTCCTCTAGAAGTCAGCCAGGGCTCCAGGGTTCCCAACACCAAATGCCCCTGCCTCAAGGTTAGCCTTCGCTCTGGATCTCACAGTCCCCAGGCTACCTTCACTCAGACAGATGTGGGTCCCCCACAGCCCCCAAATGCTCACCAGCTAAATGCCAGGGCATTCTCCCCGGCCAGATATCACCCTCACCCCCATCTCCCCAACCCTCCTAGGAAATGAGACTTCCCGCTACCCCATCCAGCAGCAAACTCCAGGATCCTCCATCCTGAAGACACTCCCAGCCCCGGACACTGGTCATTCCGTCCCCAGCCCCGAAAACACGGCTCCCGGGTCCATCCCACAGCTGGGCCAGCTCAGCCCCCGAGCCCACCCAGCTCCACACGGCAGGATCACCATCTCCAAGACCCCCCTGGTCCCCAAGAGTTCTCCCGACTCCCCTTCCCAGAAACCACGGCTCCGGGTCTCCGAGCCCCAGGCTCCAGAATCCTCCACCACCGCCCTCAACCCCCGACTGTCCTCATCTCCGGAAATGAGAGCCCCCGCTCCCCGTCTCTCTCCGGACCCACCCTTCGGTTGTCCCGAGGCCCCAGTCCCCAGATCCTTCTCGGCGGCGGGTAGCGGGATCCCACAGCCCTTCCTCGGCCCGGACTCGAGACTCCCCGGCCCCCCGCCCCGCGCACTCTCACAATGTCCGTCCGGCCCCGAGTAGCCGCCAGGTTCCGGATGCGGCTGCAGCCCCGGCGGCGGTGGCTGCGAGGTCCCTTCCAGCTGGGAGCCCCCCTCGGTCTCGACCTCCTCGTTATTGTGCCCAGGTATCTCCGGTTCCTCCTCGGCCTCGAGCTCCGGTTCGTCTTCGGGCTCCTCGGCCTCCAGCGCCGCCTGCAGCCGCTCCGCAAGCTCGGCCTTGAGGCCCCGAGTATCCAGGCCGCGGCGCTGCAATTCCTCCCGAAGTTCGTTCACCTTCAGACGGCGCACATCCATGGCCCGGGCCCCCGGGGTGGCCCCCGAGCCCGGCCCGGCCTCCCAGGGTTCTGTCCCCCTTAAACCTTTACTGTCAGGAGACGAGGGGGAGAGGGGGGGCTCACACCAATGGCGGCAGCAACTCAAAATGGCCGCCGCCACCTCCCCCTCCTCCCTGGTTCCATGCTGTGCAACACGGGTGCCAATTGGCCACTGTCTGGGAGCAACGGGCGCGGGCCCGAGACTCGGCCAATCAGAAAGCGCCTTTCAAAAGCTGGTCGATGAAAGAGCGCAGGAGCTGCCGGGGAGGAAGCGTTGGCCTACGTCGATTCAGCGACCCCAGTGGAGGGCGGGAAGAGACGGGAGGCGGAGGGCGCGGTGATTGGGTAGCGACCCTGCACTCATTCCCGTAGGGCCGAATGAGGGGAAGGGAGTAAGAATTTAGGCCAATCAGCGATGAGATCTCAGAATGAGCGCGCCTCACAGCCTTTCCTGCGCAGCCCCAGCATCAAACTAAGGTCTCTGTAAAACATATCCTGATTGGTCTACATCTCCCGCCCCTAGAGGAGTCCAAGCGGGTAAATTCACGAGAACCAATGAAATGGAGGGTCAACAGACACCTCCCCTCTCTTTCACTATTGCCTTTAAGAAACAGGAAGGAGATGAATCCACGAGGGACCCGCCCCTTACCGTTAGGGCGGTTTCAAAACAATCTGTCCACCAATCGCAATTATTGTCTTATCTCACTAAAGCTCGCAATTATTGTCTTATCTTTTCCTAAAGTTAACCAGATTGGTTATTCTTCAGCGGCTAGCCTCACAAATTTCTTGTGGAGGGAGGTATATGAAATAGTGATTAAGTTATTCTTTTATTTAAAAAATATGTTTTTATTGATTTCAGAGAGGAAGGGAGAGGGAGAGAAAGAAACATCAAAGATGAGAGAGATTCATTAATCGCTGCCTCCTGCATTCTCCACATTGGGGATCGAGGGGGCAACTTGGGCATGTGCTCTGAGCGGAACTCCAACCGTGACTTCCTGGTTCATAGGTAGATGCTCACCCACTGAGTCACTATGGCTTGGCTAGATAAGTTATTCTTGATCTGGAAGGTACTAGTTGACTTCAGCGAGTCCTGAAGATTTGATAATAGAGGCTAGACTAACAGCGTGAAAAAAGTAAAGAAAATCACTCCTTCTCCCCTTGAAAGTAAATCTCAGGGCGCCTCCTCCCACGATTATAGCTTCACTGCCGTCTCCCTCTATGGCTGTATCCTATGTGGAATGGGTGCTCTGCATGTGACCATAGAGCCCCCCCCCCCCCCCCCCAGGGAAGCCCTCCAGAAGTTCTCGGGTCTCTACCCCAAATCCTTTAAATTGCTGTTCAGTATATCTGGGTGTTTAGTGTTTGTACTGACAAGCTCAAACACACAGGTCGGTGGTAGCTAAGCCTGTGTGTTTTGAGCTAAATATACCGTTTTACGTATCTAACCCTGCACCACCTGTCGCCTGGAACTGAACGGACACAAAATTTCTGTAAGATATACAACTGAGATACACATGTAAACGCTGGCTGCCCACTGGGTCTCATCTTAAACCCACAAAAGCTACACACAACCTCTGTGGACAGACACAACACAGATAAACACATCACGGTGAGGTCTGATCACATGCATCAATTCAAGGGACAACACACCAAACCGCAGTCCGCTCGGACAGGGGGTATTACAACACAAGCTTACACGACAGCAACCTAGACACACAGCACCCACTCAGAAGCGGGACAGACACTCACGTGGGCGCGGAGGTTCCAATCCAGACACCCCGCCCCTGGCCAGCGTCTGACTTCCTCTCTCCTCCCAGCTTCCCACAGATTTATCCTAAAAAAGTTTGTGGCCCAGATTGAACTGTTGTCAGTGTCCAGGAGCTGCCACCGGGGGGCGTCCGGGCGCTGCCAAGGGCTCCTCCATTTGCGGTGGGACACACCCAGGAACTTGTGTCTGCCCTGCATGCAAAATACAGTGTGGGCTCGCTTGGCAGAAGTTCCTTTGTGGGCTGGAGATTGTTGGCGATATTCTGTGCCTGTGTTGCTATGTGAATCTGAATGTTTGGGTCTGTGAGTACCTGTTGTACTCTATGTCTCTGTGTAACTTTACTCTTTGTATTACTTTAGTTTCTTCCTAATGTTGATATCTGCCTGTGATTCATGTTTATTTGTATCTATAATTTTGTCTGTTACTCTGTGTCTGAATTTCAGTATCTCTGTATTTGTGACCAGGTGTATGCCCAATAATGGGTGTCTATATGTGACCTTGTATTTATGTGCCTATTCCTCAGTAGGGGTTTTGGAGACTCTGCTTTTCTTTGTGTGACTTTTTGTCTATGTGTATGTTCATTTCTATCTTCTTTAAAGGGGAGAACTTCTGGATCCCATCAAACCCTTCCTTTTATGATGGGGAAACTGAGTTCCAGGAAAACCACATGACTGTGGAGAGAGACAAGAGATAGAAGTGTGGTTACAAAATTTTATGTGATATAAGCCCCTGTGAAGGTTTCAGAGTCCACAATCTGTACAGGGGGATACGAGGGACTGGCTCAGGGGGGCAGCATGGCCCAAAAGGAGGAAGATTGTCCTCTGGGGAAAGAGGCATCCCTAATGCATTGCACAGGCTTAAGGGAGGTAAACCCCCACATGAGGGGAGGAGAAAGCTGAGGTGGCTTGGGAGGGTCACACAGAAAAATACTATAAAGTTAGAATCTTGGAACCTTGGAGTTCAAGAGCTGTAGATCTTTAAAATCTTACATTTGAATTTTAGAACTTCAGTGCTTAGAATCTTAAGATTTAGAATCATGGATTTTTGGACCCTTAACTAAAATCCTAGAAAGGCAGAATGCAACATAGAGCCTAAAGGTGTCCAACATTAGAAATTATTAGAACTTTGGTCTCTAGTTAATCACAACTAACTGTAGAGTCTTATACCTTTGATGCTGAGGACCTAGAATCTTGGACCAATAGAATCTAGAGTGCCTTGGAATACAGAATTGAAAATTAGAATCTTAGATTTTAATAATCTAGGACCTTGAAACATATGATCTTGAGTCTTAGACACAGAAAATTTAGGTTCTTAGACTAAATCTTAGAATATCACATCTGAGAATATTAGATTTTAGAACCTCCATCTGTAAAAATCCAAAATATTCTTTGAACTTTTGAATTGCAGTATCTAGAATCTTAGATCTTTAGGATCCAGAATCTCATAACAAGAGCTTCATGGATCATAAAGCCTTAGAAACTCTAATTGACCATCATTAGAATCTTACAACTGAAAGGATAAACTCTTGAAGCCTTATGCTCTAGAGTCTAGAGTCAGCTAGGGGATTTATACTCTAAGAGGCTTAGAACATCAAATTTTAGAACATTAGTCCTTAAAACCTCCATATCTAGAATTCCAGAACTCTACGTAGAATGTAGAGTCTTATACCCTAAGGACAATGAAATCTAGCATCATCAAGTCTTAATTCCTATGCCTAGAATAATAGAACTTTAGAACCCCAAAAGTTACAGGTTTTATCGAGATTCTTAAAAGCAGGAAAATCTAGTACTATTGAATCTCAGAACTTTCAAATATAAACTTTAGAGCCTGGCACTTTAAAATTAGATAATTTGGAATTACAGGTCCTTAGAATCTAAGACTCATAACATCTTTGAAACCTAGAACCTAGACTCTTTTAAACATTAGAATCCAAAATCTTGAAATGTTAGACTTAGGAGGACCCTTAAGGATTGCAGTCCAACCCATCCCATACAACCCCTCCCCACACGGGGGACGCTAAGGTGTGGAAAGGGAGAGGATTTGTGCGAGATGGAAATGGAATTGGTAGAAAGAGAGAGCTTCAGTTGGGGTTAAGGTCTGGAATGGGAACATAGGTGGCAGTGTATAGCTTGGGTCCTGAGAGGAAGTCCCAGGTAGAGGGTTGTCTTAGGCTCCATCCTCCTGCCCTGGTGGTGTTGGGGAGCCCCTGTCAGCAGGTAGGGTGGGGCCAGGGGCTGTAGAAGGGCAGAGGACATAGCGCCCAGCAGGATGGACCTCAGCCGCGGTGAGGCAGCTGCAGGAATCCTTAGGATCAGGCTGGGTTGGGGGGTCAGCTCCTCCAGCAGCTCCAAGTGGTTCAGCATGATTCCCACCCTCATCCATGTTGACATAGAGGATTTCATCAGGCTCCTGGGCAGGTGGCAGGGTCTTCAGTGTGTTCTCCAGATCTTCCCGTAGCTGTGAAAAACTTGGCCGGTCCTGGGGGTTTAGCTCCCAGCACTGAGACATCAGGGCATACCTAGGACAGCAGAGTGAAGGTTGGGAGACTGAGCAGGGATTTAGAAGGGGAACATTCTTAGAGTTTGGGGGAAATTGAGGACACTCAGGGGACCAACGACATTTCATGGGGCTCGAGGGAACTATCACAGTTGGGGGCATCTATGGGGACTGAAGAATTCTCAAGAGTTTCTAAAACACTCGGGAGCTGAAAAGGATATTGGAAAACCTCTCCACATATGGGATGGTATTCTAGTGATAGTTTGCTACAGCAGAGCTTTCAGTGTGGCTCCCCAGAACACACTGGCATCAAAAACTTGCAAGCTGTGTTGATTTAAAATGTGTTCAAATTCTTTGACATTCTTTTTTTTTTTTTTTTTTTTTTTTAAGATAGAACCTAATTTCTCTCCCCATTTAGTGTGGACTGGACTTCTTGACTTGATTCTGACTTACAGCTGTGATGTTGTGTGTGACTTCTGAGACTAGCCTGTAAAAGGCATTGTGGTTTCCTCCTTGCTTTTTCCCATAGGATGCTCATCTGGGGGAGGCCAGCCACCATGTTATGAGGAAGCTCAAGCAGCACTATGGCAGGGTCTGCATTGAAACAAACTTCGGCCTCCTGCCATAGCCATGTGATTGAGCTACCTTGAAAACAATCTTCTAGTCCCAATCATCAGATGGCTGCAACCTCATCTTGACAGCAATCTCATTTGAAACCCTGATTCAAAATCACCCTGAATCTTGGCTGTAACTTCAGGATCACCCTGCCAAGCTGTTCTCAGACTTTGACCTTCAGAAACTAAAGGTAATAAATACTTCTTGTTTTAAGCTACTGAATTTGGGGACATGGGTAACTAATACACCAGCTATGCAGCCTTTGGGAAGTGATTTACCATCTCTAGGCCCCAGTTTCTTCTCCTCCAAATAGGAATAATAATACTTCATTTGGCCATTTTAAGGACCAAATGAGTTAACTTAAAACAGTGCCTTCTAGTAAGTTCTATAGAAACACTAGTTATTATTCTTGCTCCCCTTGGCTCCAGGACACCCAAGGAGGAGTTGGGGAGTCTGCAGCCCCAGGCTATCCTCTCCTGACCCAGCAACATCATGATGGATAAATGTTCTACTCTTCTGGGTGTCAACGGGAGACAACGTTTGATAAGCACTGCCCTAAAAAAGCCTGAGAACATCTCAGAGGAGACCTGAGGGTTTGGGGAAGCTCAATAGAACAATCTGAAGGATTTTGGAGAGGATCCTGGGTGTTGAAGAGCATCTGGTGAAAGCATGGGTGCTCAGGAGTCTGGGATGGATTAGAATTTGTTGAGAGTGGGGGAGTCTCAGAGGCAGAGCCCCCAGGGAAGGTTGTGTAGTTACTCACTGCTCATGGATAATTGAAGAGGCTGATCCAGCCTGCATGCCATGCACAAGGCAAAGGAGGAAAGGGCATCTTTTGCTAATTCACACCCCTGTGGAGCAGTGGTGAGGAGGGCAGGTGACCTCCTCAACAGTCTGAGGGATTCTGTACAGGTTTTATAGAGTCCTGGGTATGTTTTGGAATGAAATCTGGAATTAAGTAGGGAAGGGTTCTCACAGTCCATCCAGACAGTCCACAGGCTGCTTCAGGCGGTTTCCTTGACGCAGGTAGTCGTAAATCTCACTGTTCTCCACTCCTGGATATGGGGTTTGGCCCCGAGTGGCAATTTCCCACATTGTCACCCCGAAGGACCACTGTGGAGGGCAGAGGGGAGAGAATTAGAGTGCTCCTCCTGCACAAAGACACCCCGAACACACATTTATGTACACATGTGCACATAGCTATTTTTGTGGGTGCATCACAGCTATTCACAGAACCACTTTGGCACAGGTACACCCTCATAGAGGTAACTTTTGTGTACACAGACATGCTCACCCATGCACACATTTACCCACTTAATGGACACATGGTCTCATGTGTCACTCTCCACAACCTGCCGATACACATGTATACATACTTACCACCACCTCTTCTAACCTTAACTGTTTACATGTCCCATGTAAAACTGCCACCATGCACACATGGACCTGTCAACATCCCTTGCATGTCCACAAGACTGTTCATAGTCATCCACCATAACCCAGACATGTGTAGCCCACTTGGACAGGTCCCTGTGAGCCCAGGTGCAGTGTGAGATGATCAGGCCACACCCTCCTGTTATTACTCATTCCTATCAGAGGAGTACATACCACATCACTCTTGCTGGTGTAGACACGGTCAGCCAGGCTCTCGATGGCGATCCACTTGACTGGCATCTTGGCAATACGTCCCTGGCGGTAGTAGTCTCCATTGTAGATCTTCTTGGAGAGCCCAAAGTCCGCCACACACACGGACATATTCTCATTTAGCCTGCCAGAATTGGGGAGAGGAACAGGGTCTGGACATGAGTTCCCTCCATCAGGAAGCTTACCCTCACTCTCAGACACATCTCTATCTCCAACCTGGATCTCCTGTTGGAATTAGGGCCTATCTCTCCTCCTTACCCCAGGTTTGGAAGGAACTGTGTTACTTCTTGTTTCTTCCATAAAATGAGGGTGGGGCAAAAAGCTACCGAGGACCTTCCCAGCTCTGGCTTCGCCTCCCCCTCCCTCCCAATTCTAAAGTCCTTCCTAAGCTCTTTGAGTTTGATTATCTGTTTTGAAAACAAAACTGTTTTCTTGAGGTATCATATATATGCACAAATATGAATTTTCACAAATACACCCATGACCCATGGAATCAGCTCACAGATTAAGAAACAGAATATTATGGGGAATATTATACAGGGGTGGGGGGAGAACAAACCACTGAAACAAACTCACACACACACACACACACACACACACACACACACACACACACACTTCCATTAATGGGGGGAGGGTTCTAATCTCCTTATCCACTTTGGCCCCTCCCCAAGGCCAGCCCCAGACAAGACACTCAACATAGAGAGGGACAGAGATAAAGTTTAAATGTCACCACCCTCGCTGAAACTGGTTTGGCTCAGTGGATAGAGCGTTGGTCTGCAGATTGAAAGGTCCCTGGTTTGATTCCAGTCAAGGGTACATACCTTGGTTGCGGGCACATCCCCAGTAGGGGGTGTGCAAGAGGCAGCTGGTCGATGTATTTCTCTCATCAACATTTCTAACTCTCTATCCTTCTCAATTCCTCTCTGTGTAAAACCAATAAAATATATATTTTTTTAAAATGTCACCACCCTCGTCGGTCACCTTTGTCTCTTTGCTCACTCATGCTGCCCACTGAGCCCACCCTCTTGCCTCTTCTCTCTCCACATTCAAATACTCCTTTAAGATTTCAGTTCATGGCCCATCTCCTCCAGGAAGCCTTCCCAATTCCCTTGCTGACCTCTCTATCCCAGTCCTGAATTCTGACCTGTGCAAGGAATGTGTGTGTGTCTAGCCCCCTCTTCCATCCTGAGAAAAAGGAAATGAGCTCCCTATAGGGTTTAGGGTGTCCCTAGAAGACTCAACACTCACATGCAGTTCCTGGCGGCCAGGTCCCGATGTATGAATCTCTTGGTACTCAAATACTCCATGCCACTGGCAATGTCTGCCATAAACTTCACCAGCATCTGAGTGGGCAGGAACTAGGAGACCAGGGCAGGAGAGAGGTCAGTTGAGTTCCTGAGACCCACCCCTCATTCCTTTCCCCTTTCCTTCCTGTGTGTGCCTAGCTCTACCCTGCAATGGTTTCCCATGGCTACAAGAATTAAATCTAACCCTTTCTAACAAGACCCTATATAATCCCATCCTGCCTTCCTCTGTGACTTAATCTCCTACTGTTCTTGCCCTTGACATACACTCCTTCCAAGGGCCTTCTTTCTAGTCTTCAAACAAGCCATGCTTGTTCCTACCTCAAGCCTTTGCCCATGTTCCCTTCAGGATTGCTTCCTCCCAGATTTCCCCACCTCCCACCAGCTAGCTCCTCTCCTTGGTGAGACCTATTTGTCTATCGAAACTAATTGCCTGGCCTCCTCTCATTCATCTTACTCTATAATTCCTTTCTAGTACTCACATTATCTTGCCTATTTATTTGTTAACTTGTTTACTGCTGTCCCCCCACTGGCAGACAGTTCCATGAGAGCCAGTTCTTGTTCACCATGGTTTGTCCAGTGTCTGAGTAGCACCAGGTACTTGGTAGGTGCTCAATTAATACTTGTAGACTAGTAAGACTTGTATATGATTAAATGCCCTCACCACTGGCTGGTCCCCAAGTCGAGAATAGAGAAGGAAGCTGTGTAGATCTCCATGTTTCATGAAAGGTAAGATGACCACAGGTGCAGGGAAGCCATCTAGTTCGGAACCCTGGAAACAGACGCCTGAGTCCCCCAGGCAACCCTATCACTCCAGCTGGACAGAAAGGGAAACCACCCCTCTCCCAGCTCAGTCTGCCCCTCTCCCTCAAATCTGGCCTCCAAATTGTTTTAGGGGTGGCAAGGACCACGCTTCAGAGAAGACATTTCCAGCACTGTTCCCAAGGATAATTCCCCAGTCCTCCTGGGGACCTCAGCTATTTCTGGGAAAGGTCACAGGTCACATTCCAAGCTGAGGGAGAGAAGGAGGAGGGAGTTTTCTGACTCTGAGGGAGGGGGAAACAAGGAGCTTAGAGCTTTGATCTTCCTGGTGCCCTGCCCGAGGGATCTTCCCTCTAGTGTTGCTCCCACAAAGCCTGTAGGCCCCCTAAATCTGCTGCCCCTCACCGATGAGCCTCATGACATTTGGGTGGTCAAATTCCTTCATGCAGACAGCTTCACTCAGGAAATCCTCCAGCTCCGACCTTGTACAGATGGTAACTTGGGGGAGAGAGGAAGAGTGGTAAGAGGAAACGGATTAGAGGGGAAGCAGGGAAAAGTATTCCCTCTCTTCCTCCTCTCCTACATCATCATCATCATCTTCTTCTTCACTAAACACGACTGCTAAGTGCCAAGTGCTATACCCAGCATTTTACATATATTAACTCATTTAATCCTTCGAGGTGTTCCTATTATTTTCTCTATTTTAAAGGGGGGAAACCAAGGCACAGAATGATTAAGGAACCTGCCTGAGGGCATACACAGCTTGCAAAAGAAATAGGCAGAATTCAAAGTTAGGCTCCGGGTCCACATGCACACACCATAGTAGGCTATGTCCCAACACATTTCCAATAGCAGTGGGAGTCTATGTGATTTTTCCTGTTTCACAGCTCAGGATAGTGGCTCACAGAGGCAAAGTGACTTGCCTAAGGCCACACAGTTGGTATTGAAATGCAGGTCAAGCCAAAACCCTAGGCCTGTGGACTCAAGGGTCCCAGGTTCGATTCAAGGGCACATTCCTGGGTTGCGGGCTTGATCCCCAGTGGGGAGCATGCAGAAGGCTGCCAATCAATGATTTTCTCTCATCATTGATGTTTCTATCTCTCTGTCTCTCTCCCTTTCTCTCTGAAGTCAATAAAAATATATTTTAGCCAAAACCGGTTTGGCTCAGTGGTAGAGCGTCGATCTGTGGACTGAAGGGTCCCAGGTTTAATTCTGGTCAAGGGCATGTACCTTGGTTGCGGGCACATTCCCAGTGGAGGAGGCAGATGGTTGATGCTTCTCTCTCATCAATGTTTCTGGATCTCTATCCCTCTCTCTTCATCTCTATAAAAATCAATCATATATATATATATATATATTTTTTTTTTTTAATTTTTATTTATTTATTTATTTATTTATTTATTTATTTATTTATTTATTTTAAAGAACATAGATACTAAAAAATAACTGACTGCATAACCCAAGCTTTTGGCCCCAGTGATTCAGAAAGGATTGTTCCTCCATCACCTCCAGACCAAGCCTGACCTCTATGCTTTTTCCTTGGATGGAAATGATTTCCTGCCATGGACTTCTTGTGCTGTGTGTCCCTAGCCTGGCTCCCACCTTCTTTGACAATGTAAATAGTATAGCCACAGTCCACATCAACTACATGTACTATGATCCACATCTAGCATTAAGTGCTTTGCCTCACAACATCCTAGGAGGTAGGGCCATTATGATCCTTTTTTCCACATGAGGAATGGGAGGTTCAGAGAGGAATAGTCACTTGCCTGAGACAATGCTGCTGGTAAATGATGAAGCCAGGTGTACTTCATTTCAGATCTTTCCTCTGTGCTATGTATCACAGAGGGCTGGCCCTTGAAAACTACATTTCCCAGGCTCCCTTTCTTACTGGTTTCTTGTTGGACTTTGCCAATGGGAAGCACTAATGGGAGACTGGCAGGTGGGCAGGAAGGAGGAGGGGAGAAGCCAGGGTATTTCACCCTATTTTGTAAGGCTTCCAGTATTTCCTTGGTAGTGGCTGTGTGTCCTTTGTGTTTCAAGCTCCCACGAGGTTTCCTCAAACTCTGTCATTCCCAAACCGTGACAGGCATCCCTGGCCATGGGCTCTGGTAATCCTGGTCATTCCTCCCTCTGCCGTTCAGGCCTAGAGGTGGGAGTGACTACGGCTACTGCTAATCTCCAGGTTGTGTCACTGCTCACAGGTGTTCCTTCAGTCCTTCCTACACTTTGTAGTATCTCACCATATTAAATTTCTCCTGTTGAAGTACCTAGCATAAACTTCATTTCCTGTTTGGTAACTCTGAGGTTCTGTGGTAAAGCCAATTTTTCTGTTAATTCTTCTGCTCTTCTGCCTCCTTTGGGGCATTGGGAAGGAGAGGCTAGGGGATGGGGGTCCCATATGTGTGCACATGTGTGCACAGACTCACTCTTCATTGTCTTCACAGCCACCTTGAGGATGGAGTCATCCTGGTTGAGCTGGCCCTCCATCACAGCTCCAAACTCTCCTGTAGAGGACCAGAGGGAGACACTGACCTTGGGGGGGTTCATAGGGATTGCATTTTCTTGTGGGTGGGTGGATGTGGGGAAGTGAAGCACTCTGTAGTTCAGGGGGATACATACATGTGCCAGGGGACTCACCTTCTCCCAGGGTCTTCCCCAGGGCCACCTTATGCCGGTCCACCATCACATCCCGCAGTTTCTCCTTCAGCTCTTCGCTGATTCCCAGGCTGTTCACTGCATGGGGAGTAGGGATGACAAAGCCATAGAGCTGGGCTGACATTTACATGCCCATTGTTAAAATACTGAGATACATCTGCATTCAGTCAGAAATAGCTACTGTCCTGAAAACCCTCTATTCCCACCCTAGCTCCTCCTCTAGACCCCTTGAATATTCCCCAAGAAGAGAGCCCAAAAGGTTGAAGCTGCTGAGGCTGGTTTGGCTCAGTGGATAGAGCGTCGGCCTGTGGACTGAAAGGTCCCAGATTCGATTCTGGTTGCGGGTTGTGGGCACAACCCCTGTGGGGTATGAGCAAGAGGCAACTGATCGATGTTTCTCTCTCATTGATGTTTTTAAGTCTCTATTCCTCTCCCTTCCTCTCTGTGAAAAATCAATAAAATATATATTTAAAATAAACAAATAATTAAAAGGTTGGAGCCTGTCACATAATCTCACATCAATGGGCACATTGATTGGTTAGCATTCTGCCATACCTGTTGTTCAAAATATTTATTAATGTTTTATTGAGGTATATAATCTGTAGAAATCGTAAATGAACAGCTCAATGAATTTTCGCAAACCAACCCAGCAGTCTCAATAGCACCCAGGTCAACAACAGACCATGTCCTACCCTCTCAGGGGTGGCCACTTTCCTGACCTCTCTTACCACAGATTTGTCTTCTCTGTTTAGGGATGTTATAAACATAGAATCACATATTGTTTTCTCTTTTGTGTCAGACTTCTTTCACTCAACCCGATGTCTATGACACAGTTGTAGTATACTAACTGATTAATTTTTATTGTTGTACAGAAAGAGTTCCCAACCTTATTGGCTCTAGGACTCCTTTATATTCTTAAAATTATGGAGAACTGCAAAGAGTTCTCATTTATGTGGGCTGTGTAGAGAGTGTCCCCAAAAATGTATACACACTTTTAACTGCTGATAGCTCAATTGATGCTTCTTTCTTTTCAGATTTAACTCATTGGAAAGAATAATTATTCAACGTGTGTATAGTCCTACCTGGTTTGGCTCAGTGGATAGAGCATCAACCTGCAGACTGAAGGGTCCTAGGTTCCATTTCGGTTAAGAGCATGTAGCTAGGTTGCAGGCTCCCGGCCTTGGTCAGGGGCATGAAGGAGGCAACCAGCCAATGTGTTTCTCTCCCATTAGTCTTTCTCTCTGTCTGTACCACTCCCTTCTACTCTCTCTAAAAATCAATGGGAAAAAATATCCTCGGGTAAGGATTAAAAACACACACAAATACACACACACACACACACACACAACAACAACAACACAACAACAACAAAGTGTGTATACATTTTTGAAATACCCTGTATATTGATATTTACTATGTTCAAAATTAAAGTGAATAGATTTTTAAAATACAAGAATACATAAGCACACATTCTGTCAACTAACAGAGTGATGACATCATCATGCATTAGAAAGTTTCTGGAAAACTCCATGGAATCCCTGTGAGAAAGTGAGAGTGCAAAAGGGCAAAACATATCTTGATATTATTATGAAAATAGTTTTGACCTTATGGATCTCCTGCAAAGATCTTAGTGTCCCCCAGGGACTGGATCATACTTTGAGAATTGCTGCTGCATGTGATTCCATTAGATGAGTGTGACCTGCTCACTTCCTCTTCCTTCTCCTCTTAAATTAATGGCTTTTCCAGCCCCTTCTGAAGTCTCCTTGGGGCCTGGAATCCTTCTCACTTGTGTGCTAGGAAGAGACCTAACTCTGCCCCCATCCTCCCTCCCACCCCCCCTGGATTTAGGTTTCCCCAAATGGAAAGATGTAGAGATTTGACTGGGTGGCCTTTGAGCTTCTCCATAGCTAGGACTTTCCATAACTCTACAATCCTCTAATAGAAAGCCTATAGTTTTAAGATTCTATAATTTTCAAGATCCTAAGAGTCTATAGTACTGAGCCTATAATTTTTTAAGCCAAGATCTATTCTACCTCTCTCACATCCTATAATTCTAAGAGGCAGTAAAGAAGATGGACTTCAGAGCCAAACTACCTGGGTTTCAATCCCAGCTCTCCAACTGACAAGTTGTGTGGCCTTGAGCAAGTGTCTGTGCTACAGTTTCCTCTTCTGTGAAGTGAAGGGGGAATAACACACCTACCTCACTGGATTGCTCTGAGGATTAAATTAAGGACATGTGTAGAGCACTTAAAACAGTGCCTGTCACATAGGAAATGTTAGGTTTGGCTGTCATTATCAGCATCATAATCATATTATCATTGTCATTATAACCATCAACACATTGTTCTAATATCCTACGGCTCTGAGGTTTGATCTCTCAAGATTTATCGTGACTAAGATTCTATTGTTCTAAGGTTTTTCTGTGTGACTCTAGATTTCTGTTGTTCTTAGAGTCTGTGGTGCTAACATCCTAGTATTCCAAGGTCTTAGTTTGGTTCATGTATATACAGAAGACTGAATCTCTACACTTGTTATCCCCAAACCAGGGGAGGGAAGCATGGAGTTCACTTACAGGTGGCTTCAGTGGTCCGGCGACTGTAGGACTTGCGAACGCGATACCTGACCACCAGCTCGCCCCTCTCCACTGTTGGTTCAAACACCTCGCTGGGGGAAATGGGGAGGAGGTGAGGGTAGAGCCATGTGGAACCCCCTCCTTCCACTAGCAGTGAAAGCAAGTACCGTCCCAACCCAAGTCCTACCTTTCCTCTCCTCCAGCGTTTGCTGATATTTTGGAATGCTACCTTCTTCTTTCCATTCATTCCCCAGACCCTCACCCTAATTCCAGTTCTTGGTAATCTCTCCTCCTGCACTAGCCTCTCCATAGCCTCCCTGCTTCCAAGAGTTCCAACTCACCCATAGCGGGTCTCCTTCTTCCGCTGGTGGATGAGGAACAGGGCCAAGATGAAGACACAGGCAGCAGCCACAACTGCTCCCAGCAGTACATACCACCAGGGCCATGAGAAGGAGGGGGCTGGAGGTTCACTCACTGTCAGGGCATGGGGAACAGGTCATGGCTAAAGCCCTTCGTCCATCTCCCTGGGACCCAAGGGGATGATGTTGGAGGGAGCAGATGTGGATATATTTGATTAGGCTTATCATAGGTGCATTCACACATCTGAGGAGACTGGGATGGGCAAGGCATGCAATGAATGTGATATGAGCGAGTGTTAAAGTAGGAGCATGAGACTTGTAGGATGGGTGAGGTGACTTAAGAGTGGGATGGACAGTTGAGGACAGTTGAGGAGTGTGTGATGAGTGTGAAAGGAGTGTGGGATGGGAGTGAGAGAGTTGTGTGGAATTGGTTATAATAATGCAAGGAAGGCCCTGGCCAGTGTTGCTAAGTGGCTAAAGTATTAGCCTGTGGACCAAAGGGTCACACTTCAATTCTTGGTCAAGAGCACATACCTAGGTTATAGGCTTGATACCTGGCCCAGGTGAGGGTGTGTGCAGAAAGCAACCAGTCGATGTCTTTCTCACATCAATGTTTCTCTCTCTCTTCCCCCTCCCTCCCTCTTCTTTCTCTAAAAATCAATGGGAAAAATATCATCTGGTGAGGATTAACAACGACAACAAAAATAATGCAAGGAGGGCTGATGAGCATGAGATGGGTGTGAGTAAATTGCTAGTAGAGGGATATGAGATATATGATAATTGTGCAAGAAGGGAGAACTTGGGTGTGGAAAAACAGGCAAGTGGGGGAGAGAATGCATGAGTGGAGGGTGGTGTATGAGGCATGTGCAGTAAGTATGCAAGAGCAGTAAGGCTCCTGGGATAAATGACCAAGGAATATTTTGAGGACTGTGTGATGGCTGTGGAAGGGTTTTCACTAAGCGAGGATGAGAGTGAAGTAAATGTGCAAAGGGGTGTAGTGTGCAAAGGAATGTGTACAGGGTGTGGATGGGTGTTGAAGGAATTGGGAGATGTGTGAGTGAGGATTATTCAAGGAGTTTTAGATTCAAGGAGTGAGCAGTGATTTGTAAGAATTAACTTTGGTGTGAGAAGAGTGTAAAATATGTGGAAAGAACAGATGAGCCAGGGATGAATAAAAAGGGTGTGCAAATAGGGTGGGAGTGAGTGTGTAAGAAATAGAGAATGGGAATGTGCTAAGTGTGCCAGGAGTTTGTGTGGGTGTGTAGAGAATGGGAATGGGTTAGGATTGCCTAGTGGTGAGGGAGTAACATGAAAGGAGTATTGGATGAGTATACAAGGAGAGTTGTAGAATGTGGGATAATGTGGACTGAAAATTTTTCAGTATTTGCAATGTGGGATGTATGGGGAGTGTGTAAAAAATGTGCACAGAATTTGTGAATGAGAAGTGTGGGCAGTATTAGGTTCTGGAGGCATGTGTCAGGAATGAAGAATTATAATGGGATGAATATGAAAAGAGGATGGGTTAGTGTGGAAAGGGTATGCAAAGAAATGCAGGAAGACATGAAAATTATTTAAGGATAGTGGGATGAGTTATAAGAGGTGGAATGGAATAGTGCTAGGAGGATATAAAGGGTGTAGGAGGAATGTTTGAGTATTGTTAAGAAATATCTGAGAAGGATGAATGTGAAGGGAATAACTCATTCACTGTTCTGTCTTTCCTACCCACCCCATCCATCCATCCATCCATTCATCCATCCATCCATCCACCCACCCATCTACCATTCACTGAGTACCTATTCCAGGCATCTCCATTAAGGACTACACAAACCCAAGAAATAAAGGATTAGATTGATGAGTTTGAGAAACATGAAAGGGATGTGTAAAACGTATGAGTGTGATGATAGGGTCCTCACTGGGCATTGAGGGAAGGAAGGGAGGTGAGGGGATGCGAAAGCCCTTACCCAGCAGGTGCACTGGCTGTCTTTGCCCTGTGAGGAGAAAGGACAGAGGAAGGACATGCTCAAGGAGGGCAAGACTGGTGTGACGCAGGTGAGGGTGTGAGGCTCAGTAAGATTCTGAGTAGGAACAAAGCCTAAATTGGGGTAACACTGAAAGTTGCAAAGAGCAAGTCAGGAGCATCTAGGGGAGATAAGGTTCTTCTGGGCACTTTGAAAGCGGCTGACATGGCTTTGGAGTTACCTGGGTGCCAAGGCTTTAGGGGCACGGGGAGGCTCCAGGGTCCATCCCCGGAGGCGGTGTATGCTGCCACACATACTGTCAGGTTGGGAACAGTCCTGTCCTCTCGCAGCTCCAGGGTCACCTCTTGCTTTAGTCCTATGTCCATTAGCACCTAGGACATCCAGACATCAGGGTAGAGCCCCAGGTTCCTAACTCTTAGGCCTCAACCCCCAACTTTCTGGAAACCATCTCCTCATCTCCAATACCTTCTTCCCTTCCTCTTCCTACCTTTTCATCCCCTCTCCTTTATCTCCATTCTCCATCCCTGTGCCCACTAAAATATCAGTTCCACTAGGACAGGACTTTGTCTCATTCTCTGCTATGTCCTCAAGTCTACAACAGTGCCTGGCACACAGTACTTATGCTGAAAACTGGATTTTCATCTTTCACTCTCATCTCTCCATCCTCTTCTAAATCCCACCCTCTTTTTCCCACCCTACTTCTCCACCTCAGGGATGCTGTTGGCATAGTTAATAACTTTGTGCAAATTAGAAAAGGCATCCCTTCCTCAAGATGCTATACAACTATCTGCTGTAATGTTGTCGTGGTAAAACATGGAGGCTCCTGGGATAAATGACCAAGGAAACATGTCTACTAAAACATTTTTTACAACGATTCATAAATAGCCATTCCCTCCCCTTCCCTCCCGGACCTCTCTAACCTTCCCACAATATGTTCTCCTATGCACTACCCAACCTGCTTCTCCTCCGCATTTCCCTCCTCAGCTCCTCCGCACCATCCCACCCAGCAGCACCCACCTCAGGAGTGTCCTGGCCTCGATAGGCTAGCCGGTACCCTAACAGAGTGCCCTGCAGGGGTGCCATTGGCTCCTGCCAACGCACGATGGCTTGGGTCCCATTCCGTATGGCGGTAACATTCTTAGGGGGCCCCAGAGGCACTGGAGGACAGGGAAGAGGGGAAACTGGCACTCCTACCTCGTCCTGACTTCTCCCTGACCCCAGGAAGTGAAGGCAGGGTGCAAAGAGCATGCGCATGGGCAACTCATGCAGGCCTCCTAGGAGCGAAGCATAGGAAGGAGGTCCAGGAGAGATGCCAGTGCTGTGCTGAGGAGTGGGGACTAAACGGGAAGGAGGTGGAGGCCACCCGGGGTAAATGGGTGAGAGCGAGCGAGGTCCAGAGGGCAGAGGGCAATGTCTCCCCCACCAGCTCCTTCTTACCTCCTTCAGGCGTCTCCACGGGAAGCCAGTGGGTCCAGGGTGAGGGGCCCTGGCTACTGGCACATGCCACCCTGATGTGGTAAGGACTGTGAGGACGGAGGTTGTCCAGCTGTAGTTGGTGAGGAGGGACAGATACTTGCACGGTGAGGGGCTCTTCTGGGGGATCTGGCTCTCCCAGCCTGATGCCTACCCCCTCATCTGACAGCACAGCCTTTGGGCAGAAAAGGAGTCTGAGGACAGGATGGCCATGCAATCACAGGAGCAGTCAGACAATGCTTGATGGTGGTCCTTGTTATTACACAACTTTGAGAAGATGTGTGTGTGTGTGTGTGTGTGTGTGTGTGTGTGTGTGTGTGTGTGTGTGTGATAGCTTCATTCTAGTGTTCCCTGGGCACCTGTATTTGCAAAGTGAGGAGACCATCCAGCTGCACAATGTGGTTCTGTCATCACTTGCAAAAGCTACCTCTGACATTCTCTCTCTGAACCTGTTTCTTCATCTGTAAAATGAGGTATAACACCTCCCTGCTTCGAAGGATTGACTGAAATCCTGCTGCTAAGCATTTAGAAGAGTGCCTGTGTGCATTGAGTGTTTGCCACTATTATATCGTGTGTGTTTGTGTGAGGATGCCTTACCAACAAGTGTCCAATTCCACACACCTTGCACAGCAGCATAGGCTGGCACACCCACCTGGTCCCCAGCAATGGCCAGGTCAGGATGGCAGGGCTACAGCTGGGGAATACCCCATGGGCAACACGTAAACTGGTTTGAACACCACATCAACAGCTAACATTTCTGGAGTGTTAACTATGTGTCAAGCACCCTGTCTAGTGCATGTTTGAGGAACTCAGTGACTTCTTACCACCTCCTATGGGGTCAGTTTCTTTTTTTATTCCTATTTTACAGATGAGGAGACAGAAGCCCAGAGAGGCTCAGCCACTTGCTCAAAGTCACAGGGCTCCCACATGTGGAGATAATACCACCCAGAGGCCTGGGGAGGAGGGGGGCAGAGGGTGGGTAGCAAGATGAGGGGAGGCTGTCCCCTTGCCTGCTCTTTGGCCCACAGTGACAGCCAGGAAGAGGAACCTCTGCTGGGACAAAGGGGACAAGGATGCAGACATGCCAGCTCCCACTTCTCTTTTCCCTGGGATGCCTGTGACCCTCCCATTCAACCCTTCAGCCCCAGCCTATGGACAGCAGGAAGTGAGACCTGCAGAGGGAAGAGGACACACTTCTGCTTTCCTGAGGACACTGGATGGGTGTGGGGTGGGGGTATAGCTGACACCTGACCTGGCATTTGAGGTCTCCCAAATTGGACTGGCCTCAGGGATTGAATCAGTTTCATCCTCTAGCCCGTGGGCAGGACTGGTCATTTCCTCTCCCTGGGCCTCAGTTCCTTACCTTGAAAATGGGAAGATTAACAACCACTACTTTTAACGTTAAAATGACAAGTGAATAAGGTTATGTCCAAGGTACACAATTGTAAGAAAGACAGCTGCTTTTTAATCAAGTACTGGCTCTAAAGGGTCTCTAAGGAGGTAAGGAGATCCTTTGGGTTTGGTGAAACAAGGGTTCGAGTCCCACCTCTTCACTTGGGCAAGTTTCTTAACTACTCTGAGCTTTAGTTTCTTCTGAAAAAAGGTTGTAAACACAGACCATATTTCACAAACACTCAAGGGTGTGTGTGTAAAGCTGTAACACAAGACCCCCCACACAGTTGGCACTCAATGAAAGTGGGCCATTATTAATTATCATCTCCTATCATGGGCAATGACCTACCAACTTCCGAATCACAGAGATCCTCAGGCCAGAATTGGATCTTGTACTCACATGTCTGTATGTTTGTTTTTTTTACACTAGAGGAGGAGCAACTTGCAGAAAGCTGGTCTGGCCCTTCTCAGCTGTCAGGTAATCTTCTTCTGATTGGCCCTGAGCCAGGCAATAGTGAGGACTGAGTGGTGACTGAGACAGCCTGGCTGTACCCTCTCAGAGCTATGTCCAGTGGAGAGACAGACTCATCCTCAGACAGTGACAGCCCAGAATGGTCAGGACTGAGATGTGAGAAGCAGGGTTGGGGGTAGCCAGTGGTGACCAAGATGGCTGTCTCAGGGTTCCCATTCTGACTAGTCAATATCACTGGTACTAAAAAAAAAAAAAAAACACCCTGAAAACAGCTAATAGTTTATTACACATTTCCACTTGCATTTACTATTGAATTCCCACAACAAGCCTTTCCAGTAGTACTACCATTATTCCCATTTTATAGACGAGATAACTGAGTCACAGTCACTTACCTGAGCTCATGCAGCCAGCAGCTGATGGAGTTGGGATCTGCACCCAATACAGCTGCCTTAACCCGATGCTCTACTGCCTCTCAACCCACAAAGCTGGGAAGGGCTGGTTACCCAGGGAGATGCTGAGGGCTTATGGGTGTGGGTGGAGAGGCGCCTGAGGTTAGTAAAGTCTGAGTCTCACCTGCAGGGTACAGTGGGTGAGGGGATAGATGCCGCTCAGGCCTGGTGTCCAAACCACTTCCAGCTTTGTGGGTAGACTGGAAACCAAGTGGAGATCATGGGGCCGCTGGGGAAGCACTGTGGAGATGAGAGAAAGTACTGACCCAGGGGGCCTTTGCCCAAAGGTCCTCACCCAGCTCTGACTTTTGACCCCAGCCCCACACACATATGACACCCAGGTCCCCAGATCCTTTTTCTGTCACCTGTGATGATGGCCGTGCGGGATGTGGTGACCCCCTTGGCATTATGGGCTTCGCAGGAGAAAGAAGACGTCTTGTTCAGGCCTGGGGAGTCACATGGGGGCAGGACCCAGCGTCAGAGAGGTGCCCCTACCTGACAGGACCAGGCTAACCTAAAGGGGCACCTGCTTGGAGGGAGACTATGGAAAGGGAGGTAATGTGTTGGGAACACAGGCCTCCATCCCAAACACTGGGACAGGCCTGGGGCCTCAGCCCTAATGCTCCACCACATGGACACACATATATGCAGACACAGGCACACACATGGTTAGACTCACATATATACACAGAAACATATAGAGACACACACACACTCTTGTACACACACTTATGCACAGACAGAGATACATACTGTACTCTCGCGTCACATAAGCACACTTAGAAACACATTTGCATAGCAAGACACACAGATACAGAGTTATACAAAGGCACACATAGAAACACATAATTATACACAAGTCACCTACACCAATACACACAGTTATACCCATGAACACACAAAGAAACACATTCTCATACAGAAACACACATACTTAAAGCTAGACAGACAGACACACTCACTTAGGTGCAGAAACACACACACAATCACACTGAGTCACACGGACACACATAGAGGCATATACATCTAATAAACAAACACCTAAGAAACAGGTTCTCATGGGTATGTGTAAATGTAGAGGCATTTACTTCTATATATAAAAGCCCAAGTGACTGTTATGGTGGAACAGCCAGTCACTATGATGCGCACTGAGCAGGCTAGCAGGTGAGTGGTTAGGAGCAGGCAGGCAGGCAGGCAAGCAGTTAGGGGAGAGCGGTGCTGGACTGTGAGAAGGATGTTCAACTGCTGAATGTCCGAAGCAGGGATGGGCCTAAACCAGCAGTCAGACATCCCCCGAGGGGTCCCAGATTGCGAGGGCGCAGGCTGGCTGAGGGATACCCATGCACAAATTTTGTGCACTGGGCCTCTAGTTTGTTTATAAGCTCAGTTCCTACCAAGTCCACTCCCCCTCACACACACTTCACTCTCCTGGGCCCTGGCCACATGCCTCCTAGTGTTTCTGGGAGGCACACATCAAGAACTTTCCCACCTCAGGAACTTGGTACTTCTGTCCCTTCTTGGAACAGTCTTCCCACTGACATCCAAGTGGTTCTCTCTGCACCCCTTCACATTGTTACTCAGATCCCACCTTCTCAGTCCTTGTGTCCCTGACCACCTTGTTTAAAATCAGAACTGTGTGGCCGGTGTGGCTCAGGGATTGAACCAGGAGGTAGAGGTTCGGTTCCCAGTGGGGGGCATTCGGGAGGCAGCCAGTCGAATTCTCTCTCATTATTGATATTTCTGTCTCTCTCCCTCTCCCCTCCTCTCTCTGAAATGAATGGGAGCATATTAAAAATGTTAAAAAGAAACACATTTGGAACCTCCCTCCATATCTAGCCTTTTTCTTGCTTTATTATTTTCCTTTTGGCTATTCTCATTACAATGTCAACTCCACTAGCATGTCAGCTCCGTAGGCAGGGGTTTCTGTCCCCTGCTGTATTGCCTGTGTTTAAGATGGCCTGGCACCCAGTAGGCACTCTACAAGTGCTTGTCCAATGAGTAACTGAATTTGTGTGTATACATTTGTGTACTTATGAGTTTTTCTGGCTGTGTATACAGAAATGTGAGCATGGGTACTTCTGAGGGTGAGTTAACTACGAGTCATGAGTAACTGTTTTTGAATATCTTGGATGGATTGACTCTCCTCCCTGGTGTGATGATGGTGGGGACATAGGCAGACATCTGTCCCTACATTTCTTAACACACACACACACACACACACACACACACACACACACACACACACAATATCTGGGTGACAGGATGTAAGGAGGACAAAGTCTTAAGTCTGCATGTATAACTGTAGTTCATGCCCCTCTGCCTATGCCTGTACCAGTGTGCTAGTGGACCAGTGAGTGTCTGTGGCTGTTGAGTGCTTGCGTGCTTCTTGGGTTTGTTCTTGCCTGTGTGCCTGTTCTCATCACCATCTACTGCAGACACAAAGTTTCCTTTTCTTAGTCAGCAGAGGGAGTGGAAGGAGGGAAAGCTGGCTGGCCACCCGCCCGAAGGGGTGGGCAGGGAAGCTCCTCAGTTCCGCTGCCCAGGCACTAGTTCCCAGCCAAGGTCAGGTGCCTGCCTGCCCCCACAGCCCCCGCAGCCAGCCGCTATTGCTGGGGGAGGGACAGGATAGCCCTGGGCAGTTGGGCAGCCGGTGGGGGGTGAAAAGCCTGGGTCCCCTCCAGCCACCTGGCATGTGGGGGCCGCCAGGGTCACTGTGTGGGAGCTGGCCCTGTCCTCCGGAGGAGCCCTGGGGCAGGATGGGGGTTTTGGGGCAGGATGGGGTTCTGGAGCCAGGTCCTGTTCCAACCACAGCATTCCTGCCCCGTCTGAGTGAGTCACCAGGCCCCACCCTCTGTACTTCCGGCGGGCCTTGTGTGGAGGGGCCCAGGATCCCCCTTTCCAGGCTCAGACACCAACACCTTGAGGGAGGGGAGAGCAGGGATGAAGGGGCCTGGGTCCCCTTCCCTGTAGCGGGTTCTCTCTCACAAGCTAGAGCAGCCCCACTCCAGATGTGCTTTCCAGATGCCTGTCCACCTCCCGTCTGCTCCTGCTCCTCCCCCCAACCCTGTGTTTTTTCCGAGGGAAAGAGAGGGATGGAAGGAGAGAGGGGGCACGCCCTGCATCAGATCAAGGGACAGATGCACACAAATGGGAACATTTCTTAACACAGTCCCCGCCTCTCCCAATGAATCACACTTAACACACAGGGACCGTTATTGGCACAAAAAATGAGAATGCGGAACTCAATAAGCTATGCACAGGCTGATGCTGAGGAAAACACGCAGTGACACAAATACACACTCAGTGACTTACATACACACGAGCTGACACAAATAAAGGAAGAGAGCAACCATAAACACAATCAAACGTGTACACATTAACTACAAACACCTAGCAAGACCACATAACACCTAGGTTGCAGCTGACAGACACACAAACCTCCCTGCATCTTGAGAGGCACACCCCAAGGGACAATCACAAATTGAGGTTGAAGTGGACAAATAATACACACTGGAACCCGTAGAAGTTAATATGGACTTGCTCGCACAAAAATACAGCCAAGATTTCAAAACACAGCTGGACATACTCAGGATGCTGAAGACATTCATCGAGACGCAGACTGATACAACAGTACTGGCTTGCATGGACATGAGGGTTGCAGCAGACACACAAGAGGGGAGATGTGTGCACACAGGCGGTGCAGACACATCTACACACTGGCTGCTAAGCACCCCATGTTCATCCACCTGGAAGGCACTGGGGCCCGGCTGGTACTCAGGGAGAGCAGAGGGAGAAGGATGTTACTGTTGTCTGCTGTGAGTCACACATGCATACAAACACACACACATACACATACACACACACACATTCACACGGTGTCCATGGGACATAGTCACATACCAACACATACCTGTGACAAATACACAGACACCACAGATATCCATGAACACAGATATGTATACACACTGACAGCCATAGTCAGTGGAAACACACTAAATTGTCCATTGACACAATCTAATTCCATGGAAACAAAAGCCCACTCCATGATACTCACACCCATAGGCGCACACCTGTGAGCTGACATTGTCTTCTCTGTATAGGGAGGTATGGGAAATAGCCACAAAACGCACTTCGATCTCTCCCCCAACACACATACACGCTCTACCCTCACACAGTGCGTCACAGCTGTGAGCACATAAACACAAAGGCAGAGACAGGATGACACTGGTATACTTAGTCACACACACACACATACACACACACACACACACACACACACACACACACGTGTGCACACACCCCTCCCCCCACTCACTGAGACAGCTACAGAAGCTGGCCCTTGCTAATTACTCCCCCTCCCCATCCAAAGAAGTTGATCCAAAGGGACATGGATGCACACTCAGAATCTCCTCCACCCCCCAAACTAATACACACATACAGATTGCTTTCACAACTGTACCAAATACTGATACATGCATAGTCCCTCTCCCACCTATGGTCCCCCCATTTTTCCTTCTTCCTGGGATGGAGTTGGGGAGCCAGCCTCCTCCCCCTCCTTCTCTCTGGGGTCCTGCCAAGCTGACTCAGTCCCTAGAGCCACTGGCCTGAGTCAGCCCTCTGGGGGGCTGGCATACCCACCATCTTTCCCTTGCACACTCAGGGTCCCTAGAATGCTGGGAATGTGGGCCCCTCCCACCACCCTGGGAGATACTCAGTCAGGAGTCCCCTCCCCATCCCAGCAGATGGAGGAGCAAGTTGGGGTGCTGGAAGCTGATACCCTACAGGTTCAGCCACCTCCCTTTGACTAATTGAGCCTCTCCCTTCTGTATTCCTCTTTCTCCTTTCTCAGTGAAGGGGAACCCCCTGTGTCCATGGTCCCCCATGGACCGCTGTGTGACCCCAAGCTTGGTCCTGCCCCATCTTGAGTTACCTCTCTGTGATCTGCCCTCTCTGTCTTTGATTCTCTCTCTCTCTCTAATTCTCTCTCTCTCTCTCTCCCATTTTCACCCCCTCTCTTTGCTTCACATTCTATCCCCACCAGTGGGGTTCCTCAGTGACAGGGTGGATAGGTTGGGAGAAGTGGAGAAGAGGAGGGCACGGTTGATTCTGGTGCCCTGCTTGGGGTCAAGGGCTGACAAAGGACCATCAGGCCTACACACACTTGGGCTATGGAACAGCTCAGAGGAAACCCAGGACAAAGAATTCTATTCAGAGACAGGCTGGGGTAGTTGGAGGGAGAAAAAGCAGAGAGACAGGACACAGAGAAACAGAGAGCAATGGCGAACAAAGACAGGAAAAAAATGGAGAAAGTGAATGGAGAGAAGTGAGGAGGTAGACAGGGGCAAAGATGCAGAGGTGGACTCAGAGGCAGAGACACAGGAACAGAGAGAGACAGACAGAGAAAGACAGAGGGACAGGCAGACACTCACACAGGGGCATGAAGGGCATGCTTCTCCCACTTCCACACTGCCAGGGCCGCTACAGTGAACTGGCCACACCCCTGGACTCACCTGAAACACGAAGTATGTGCTGGGGGGTGTGGCCCATGGCCAGAGACAGGGGGACAGCATCCTGGAGCCAGAGCAGGTTCACGGGCTCTGGGGGACCCTGGGCTCGGCAGCTCAGGTTGAAGGGGGTGTTGGCAGTAACAGTCCTGTCCTCAGGTTCCTCCAAGAAGTAGGGCAGGCCTGGGTGGGGGGTGATGGTAGAGGCTGGGTCTTTCAGCCCCCAGGTGTCTGACTCACTGTCAGGTTGTTGGAGGCTGCAGGCTCCTTAACCCCTCAGGCCTCTACCCCCAGGGCACATCGTCCCAAAATCTGTTTCTCCCAAACAGTGTTCGACCCCCAGGACATATAAGCCCCTCATTCTTTTCCAGAATGCCTGACTTCTCATCCCATTTTACCAATGAGGAAGGGAGGCTCCTGAGGATGGGAAGAGGGTTAAGTCATGCCTCTGACTCCTTGTCTGTCCAAAAAATGTCCTAACCCAACCATGGCTGACCCCAAGATAGCCAACAACTCCCCACCCCAAAATGTCTTCTTCCGCAGAACATACACTGGCCAGGTTATTATGATCTCTGAACACATAATAATCTGGCCACTCAGTGTATATCCTATATAATAAAAGGCTAATATGCAAATTGTCCCCTCAACCAGGAGTTCAACCAGCAGGCAGGCCGGCCAACCGCCTATTTCCCCTCGCCCTGGCCAGGCTGGCTGGACCCCACCCATACATGAATTTATGCACCAGGCCTCTAATATATATATATATATATATATAATGATCTCTGAACACATAATAATCTGAGTGGCCAGATTATTATGCACTCAGAGATCATAATAATCTGGTACTTAGTGTATAAATCCCAATAATTTATGGACCCAAGTTTCCTGATCCTTAAGATCTCTGACGTTCTTAGTATGTATGTCCCTGGGAGACATCCTGAATCTTCCAGCACCCTCTGATCCTGGGGTTCCTGACCCCCCATGACGTCTGAGCCCAGGGCTCACCTTCCAGTCCAATGTAGCCGGGCTGTGACACAAAGGTTTTTTCTCCTAGGACCACTGCGCACCGGTACGATCCCACGTCCGAGAGCTGCAGGGACAAGATCCTGACAGAGACAGAGAGGTTTGGGATCAGAGCTAGACACTGGGAGGGAAGCATCAGAACTGAAAGATGGGGGTCTGGACTGGAAACACGTATGAGCTAAGAGGTGGGCACTATTATTAACTCCTTTTACAAAAGAGGAAAGTGAAACCCAGGGCTACATCACATGCTCACAGCCACACAGCCAGCCAGTGGCCAAGCTGGGTTCCAACCCCGAAGGAGCTCCTGCTGGTGACTCTTTCACCCACCATGTGATGGAGGTGGTGGGGGGCAAGGGGAAGGGGGCAGGGGGATGTGGGGTTGTGGCTGGTCAGGGAGAGGCTGGTCACCTGAGTTTGCTGACCACTTTCCAGTCATCCTGCTCGTCTTCGCCCAGCGGCACCTGGATTTGGGTGCTGTCTGCCAGTTCTAGGGTCTGCTCATTCCGAAGCCAGGTCACCTCAGGGGGCTCCCCATGAACCAGAAGCTCACACTGAAGGGTCCCTGTGAGTTCCCGGGCACCAGTGATGTTCCCTGGGCTCCTCACAAAGGGGTCCTTCTGAGCCTGTGAGCCTGCAGGGAGATGGGGAAGGGTTGGCTTGGAAACTCCACTTCCCTCCAATTCCTCAGTTCCACCCCATGGGCCTGCCTATGGCAGCCACAACCTTGCCAGGCCTTTAGGCCCACATAGTTGTACTGTGACCTCAGCGGGGGCTGGAGGGAGGCGCCTTGAAGGGAGGATGGGCGCCTTCCCGGGGGATTTGGGTCCAGCCTCCATCCCTCAACTTTGGGAAGAAGGCCCGGGATCTGGCAGCCTCCCATGTCCGGGCTGGCAGGCAGGGCCAGCTCTGGCCCCACTGCCCTCCCTTAGGGTCTCCAGAGACTTGACAGGTCAGGCTGGTGGATGGCGGGGAAGAAAAGGGAAGGAAGGAGAGGGAGAGGGGAAGGGAGGGAGAGAGGAGAGATGGCAGGGAGAGAAGCCAGAGAAAAGTTGAGCAGAGGGAGTCAGAGATAGAAAGGAACAGAGACCAGAGAGAGACAGAGGGTGAGAGATGAAGAGACACCCTGGGGGTTGGGGGTGGGAGTGGTGGCAGTGACTTTGATAGAGACAGGAAGAGATAAAGGCAGAGACTGGGAGAGGGAGAGGGAGGGAGAGGCACCGAGATGGTAGAGCTGGAGCCTGAGACAGAGCCTCATCCCAGAGATGGAGCAGACAGACAATGGCGGGGCAGGGACAAGTGTGTGTGTGTGTGTGTGTGTGTGTGTGTGTGTGTGTAGGGGGTTCCCCAATCCCTCGCCATCCCACTGCCGCTCTGAGTACTCCTTTCTGGAACATTCCTTCCCTGGAAGCCCCCGTCTCAGCCTCTCCCCAGAGCCCCCACTCAAGCCCAGCCCCAACCCCTGCCTCAGCTTCTCCTTGGTGTCTGTCTCTCAGGGTGTGCATCTCTTCCGTCTCTGACCCTCCTAGTTTCTATTTCTTGTCCCGCTGTTCCTCTCTCAGAGCCCCGCTCTGTCCCCAGGGCTTCTCTGGGTTTGTCTCTGTGTCTCCTGGTCTCCCTCTCTGTTGTTCCAAGAAAATTCCCTGAGCCAACTCGGGACCACCTGCCATCCACCCCTCCTCTCCAGCCTCCCCCAGCCCCTCCACAGGTGGTCTTGCCCCTCAGACCCCATCACTCACCGTTGGGGGCCAAGCAGCCCCAGCAGCAGAGAGCCAGCCACCAGGCCAGCGGGACCCTGCCCATCCTCGGGCTCCGCGCGATCTCTGCCAAACTTTGCTCAGAAGTTGCCTGGCACACGGAGGGGGAGGGGGCAGGGCCGGGCTGTCCCCGGCCCTCCCCCCAGCTCCGGGCTCCCGGCTTTGGCTCTGTCCGCCTGGCACAGGAAGGGCTCCTCACCAGCTCCACTCCACTCCGTGGCCGCCTTCCCTGCTCCCTGGTCTTCTTCTCCCTCCTAGACCTCCGAACCCTCTCCCCTGCCCCTGGCTCCCCCTGCCTCCTCCACCCACCAGGCTGGGAGCCGAGGGGGCCACTGGGATTTCGAGGGGTTAACTTCGAAGAGGAGAGGACCAGCCCTGTCTTAAAGGGACCCTGGAGGGAGGCTGAGAAGGGGAAGGAGCCCTGGTGGCTTCACCCCTAAGCCTGGGCCAGAGAGGCAGGGAGGCTGTGAGTTTCTCTGCCCGGCTCAGGGCGCTGTCGCCCTGGGCTCTCTGGATGTCCCGTAAACATTCTTCCAGAACTCCACTCTCCGCTCAGTCCCTGCGATGCCCCCTCCCCGGCCTCCACCCCCAGCCCAGCCCCAGTCAGGCACTCCTCTCACACTCACAGCTCCTCCTCCCCCTCCTTCTTTTCCTCCTCCTCTCCCCTCCTCCCCCTTCCCTCCTCCCCCTTTCCTCCTTCTTCTCTCTCTCCTCCCCCTCCTCCCTCCCCCTCCAAGGACACACACACACACACACACACACACACACACACACACACACACGCAGTCAGATGTCATCAACACACAGAGGCTGGGGCAGGAGGAGACATGCAGGGGCTCGCTGCCAGCCCATGGGACATACTCAGAGACAAGCCAGGTCAGGAACTCCATTCCTGAAGAAATCTCAGAAGCCAGAACCTGAAGAACACCTGCTGGGTGGCATCTCCGAGTACACTCAGGGAGATGTGGAGCCTCCTGCCCAAGAGACCCACCTGGGCACAGGAACAGGACCCGACCCTGGCCGGTGTGGCTCCATTGGTTGCAGCATCTGCATCATCTTGTACCAAAAGGTGGTGGGTTCTATTCCTGGTCAAGGCACAGAACTAGGTCATGGCACGTGGAGTCAGTCAATCAATGTTTTCCTCACATCGGTGTTTCTCTCTGTGTGTCTGTCTCTCTCACTTTCTCTCTCTAAAAATCAATACATTTTTTTTTTTTAAAGAATCTGTTTTTAAAAAAGGAACGAGAACCCAGGGTATCCTGTAAGAACACCTCAGGGAGGGTGTCTAAAGAGTTGGGCTGGAGTCCCAGCCCTACCAGGAACTGGTGATCTTAGAAGTGACTGGCCCCTCTAGGCCTGTTTATCCATCTGTGAGATGGGAATAAGAGGCTAGAGGGAGGATATCCTGGTCCAGCACATGTGCAGTTCTTCTTTGCACAGGATGAGGACGGCTGACCAGGTGCCCTTGATTTTTGGCATGCCATCTGTTCGTTTCTCTGTGCACTTGCATTATGGTCCTTGCAGACCTGGTACCTGTGTGTGGGTTCTGCTGCCTGTCCATCTCTATGCCCCTATGTATTTTGCACATGGAGGTCTCTGTAAGCCTGCATTTCTGGAGGGTAAGGGAAGTAGGGAAGGGGGATGGAGCTGGGCAGCCATCTCTCTGTCCTTAAAGCTCCTGTGTGTTGTCATCCCTACAGCTCACCACCAAGTCCTGTCCTTCCAGCCTCCTAATGTTTCCCACCTGCCCCTCCTCCCGACTGAATACAGCTCCATCCTTTCTCACCGACCCCCTGGCCTGGCCTCCTCCCTGGCCTCCTGGCCTCCATTCTTGCTCTCTCCAAACCATATCCCATTCAGCAACCAGAGAGATGTTTTAGAAATTCTCATCCGACCCTGTCCCACCCCTGCTTGACCTTAGCTCCTCACTGCCCTCAGGTCTCTTCACCATCAGCTTCCCTGAGCTGTCTCATTTGTGTCCTATTTCAGTGATGGCCTTAACATCCATCCTGCCACCCAAGCCTGACTTTCAGGGTTCTCTCTTTAAAAATAAATAAATAAATAAATAAATAAATAAATAAATATTAATTTTTTACAGAGAGGTAGGGAGAGGGATAGAGAGTTAGAAACATCAATGAATCAATGACAGAAAAACATTGATTAGCTGCCTCCTACACATCCCCCACCGGGGATGTACCCACAACCAAGGCACATGCCCTTGAAGGGAATCAAACCTGGGACCTTTCAGTCCCCAGACTGACACTCTATCCACTGAGCCAAAGGTCATTTCTGCTCTCCTTTTTCTGTAACAACACCACATGGGTTGCCATGACACAGTAGTCCTCCATTGTCCACAGTTCCACTTTCCTAGCCTCAGTTACAAGTAGTCAACCACAGCCTGAAAATATTAATGGAAAATTCTAGAAATGAACAATTAACACGTTTTAAATTGCAAGCTATTGTGAGTGGATTGATGAAATCTGGTGTGGTCCCTGGGATGTGAATCATTTCTTTGTCTAGCATATCCATGTATGTATATTCCCCAGCCAGTAGACAATAGCTGTGGGTTATCAGATCTGTTTGAGAGATAGCGAAAGTATTCACATAATTTTTATTACACTATAGTGTTATGATTGCTCTATTGTATTACTACTTACTGTTGTTAATCTCTTACACTGCCTAATTTATCAATTAAACTTTGTTATAGCTATGTATAGGAAAAAACACGGTCTATTCAGGGATCAGTACTATTGGTGGTTCTAGGTATCTACTGAAGATCTTGGAACATATCCCTTGTGGGCGGGGGGGGGGGGGGGAACTGCTGTATATTTATTTTATATATTTATTAGTGTGACTGTGTCTCATATCTGTCTCCTCCTACTGGTCTGTGGGCTCTGGGGGAGCAGGGACTGGATCTATCCTGGTGACCACTGCATCTCCACTACCCTGTACAAGTCCTGCCATAAAGTGGCCAAGTCATTATTGTGGCATTTTGGGGATGTGAATATGTGTAAAGGTCTACCCACCTTTTAGAATATGGTCAGAAGACCTACATATCTAGGGCTCATTGGATCTGGCTGTGTGCATGACCAACTCAAATATCTGTTTGTTCACTCAAGAACTGTTAGGGGCAAAGATAGAATATTGGGGACTCGCTATGGTTATGGGAAATAGTATCATGCTCTGTTAACCACGAATGCCTTGTGTTGGTTAAAGAAAGGTCATTGTGACCTGGCTGGGAGTTGTAAGCTCCCAGGACCTGGGAGTCAACCTTGGACCTGGGGATCAACTTCAGAGACATTCTCATTTAAGAACAGCCTATTATCATGGAAAGATTAACAGCCTTGTTGCCCAAACAATGGAGTCCCACCCTGGCCTGTATAGCCAACTTCCCCATGCCTGTAATTCCTACTTTCCCACCTAATCTTTGTCCTACCCTACATAAGCAGTTGACTTATAAGGGGCTGCAGAGCACATTTTTGTGGATGTCCTGTTGCTCTCACATACTGCCGGCAATATCGGAATAAACGCTCATATATTATTCAACCCTGACTCTGCTTAATTGGCTCCAGTAATGACCTGCAGCACGGACCCATTGATTGTCCAGTTACAGAACTTTTTGCTGAACACTTACCATGTGCTTGCAATTTATTTTCTTTGCTTTTTGTTTTGTTTAGTTTTTTAAATCCCCATCCAAGGATATGTTTCCATTGATGTTTGAGAGTGAATAGAGGGTGCTAGAGAGAAACATCCATGTAAGAGACATATTGATTAGTTGCCTCCCACACATACCCTGATTGGGCCAGGAATTGAGCCTGGAATTGAGGTACATGTCCTTGACTGGAATTGAACCCTCAACTCTACAGTCTGTGTGCCGACACTTTCTCCACTGAGTCAAACTGCCTTAAAAATGAAATGGATAAGCAGATAGAAATGTTCCCTGTGCCAGGGGCTGGGGATTCCACAGTGAGCTCATATCTCAAGAAGAAGAGAAACAACAACCAGATAAGCACTTATCAGGATGCACTAAGAGGAGTGGAAAAATAGCCCAGGAGGGTGAGGATCTACAGCAAAAAAAGTTATACCAGGATTTTCTTTCTTTTTTTCTTTCTTCTTCTTCTTCTTCTTCTTCTTCTTCTTCTTCTTCTTCTTCTTCTTCTTCTTCTTCTTTTTTTTTTTTTGTTAATCTTCTGTAGCAGAGGTCACCTACTGGATCCATGAGGTCCGAAAGGTTGGTAACCACTGCTCTGGAGGATATTTCTTTCACTGATTTTTAGAGAGATGGGGAGAGAAACATCAATGTGAGAGTGACACATCGATTGGTTGCCTCCCACATGTGCCCCAACCTAGTATGTGCCCTTGACCTGTATAGGACCGGACCCTTCAGTCTATATGCAGAAACTCTTACCACTGAGCCAAACCAGCCAGGGCTCTATGAGGATTTTTTTACTGTGTGTGTGTGTGTGTGTGTGTGTGTGTGTGTCTGGCACACTTAACCCCTGTATTGTTCAAGAATCAAGTGTATATCACATTCTCTTTATCCATTCACAGAGCAACATTTAGGTTGTGAATATGCTGCCATGAACATGGGGGTCCAGATATCTCTTTGAGATACTGATTTCTTTTAGGTATATACCCAAAAGTGGGATTCTGGGTCATATGATAATTCTGTATTTAATTGTTTTGAAGAAATTCATACTGTGTTTCATAGTGTCTGTACCCATTTAGATCCTCTAGCAATGAAGCACCAGGCTTCCCAACTGGTTGGCTCTGAGTAGGGAGAGACACCTGATTTGATTTAAAAAAAAAAAAATATATATATATATATATATATATATATATATATATATATATATATGTATTTATTGATTTCAGAGAGGAAGGGAGAGGGAACATGTGTCCTGATCAGGAATTGAACTCATGACCTCCTGGTTTATATGTCATGCTCTATCACTGAGCCATGCCAGCCAGCTGGGCTCCATTTGGTTTTAAAGGGTCCCTCAGAAAAGGCCAGTAAGTGAAAGGTTGACAGAAAACTTTCTACCAGAGAGATCAGGACCTGGATGCATTACGAGGACCATTGTTTAGTATGATGTGATACTCCAAGAATGGGTCAGCACCTCCAGTAAGAAGCTCTTGACAGAATGAGCCAGAATCTGACCTGATTCCCAGTTTATAGGGGTCCTGGGAATGGAAGGATATCTTGAGTAGCACCACAAAAATGCCACCTGACAAATCTAGGATATGAAAAGTTGTACAGCCGGGACCGGTTTGGCTCAGTGGATAGAGCATCGGCCTGCAGACTGAAAGGTCCTGGGTTCGATTCTGGTCAAGGGCATGTACCTTAATTGCAGGCACATCCCTAGTGGGGGGTATGCAAGAGGCAGCTGGTTGGTTTCTCTCTCATCAATGTTTCTAACTCTCTGTCCCTCTCAATTCCTCTCTGTGTAAAACCAATAAAATATATTTAAAAAAAAAAAAAAGAAAAAAAGAAAAAGAAAAGTTGTACAGCCCTGGCCAGTGAGACCTAGTGGGTTGGAGCATCGTCCTGTGCACCAAAAGGTTGTAGGTTCGACTCCTGGTTAGGGCACATACCCAGGTTGTGGGTTCTTTCCTCGGTCAGGACACCTATGGGAGGCAAAACAAATTAATATTTCATTCTCACATCATGTTTCTCTCTCTCTCTCTTTCCCTCTCCCTCCTTTCTTCTTTCTCTAAAATTAAAAAAAAAAAACAATAAAAAGAAAAATTGTACAGGGCAAAGGACACATTTCTTCAAGAAATAAGTGGTGAGTGGCAGGTGTGGCTTATTAATAGTGGTTGAGTGTCAACCTGTGAATCAGGTCAGGGTTCGATTCCTGGCTAGGGCACATGCCTGGATTTTAGGCTCAATTCCCAGTAGAGAGCAGGCAGGAGGCAGTTGATCAATGATTCTCTTTCATCATTGATGTTTCTATCTCTCCCTTCCTCTCTGAAACAAACAAACAAAAAATGGCACAGAAGCCCTAACAGCTTTGGCTCAGTGGATAGAGCGTCAGCCTGCAGACTTGAAAGGCCCCAGGTTCGATTCTGGTCAAGAGCATGTACCTTGGTTGTGGGCACATCCCCAGTGGGGGATGTGTAGGAAGCAGCTAATCAATGTTTCTCTCTCAGCGATGTTTTTGGCTCTCTATCCCTCTCCCTTCCTTTCTGTAAAAAAATCAATAAAATATATATATCTTTAAAAAGTGGCACACAAAATGTTAGAGAATGGTTGCAGATTTTAAAGATGTAAGAGCTTTAAACAAAGATGTAAGGGGGTTTAAACAAAGGCACTGTATCGTGAGGCTTTGGGTCTTGGTTTGAACAAACCCAGTTATAAATTACATCTAGGAAACTGTCAGGGAACATGAGCACCAACACTGAAGAGCTGCTAACAGTGAGGGGTGCAAGACTAGACATTGTGGTTGTAATTTTTTCTTTTCTTTCTTTCTTTCTTTCTTTCTTTTTTTTTTTTTGTATAAAAGCAAGTAAGATGGCAGCAAAATCATACTTAGGACAGTGGAACAAGGAAGAGAGTGGAAGAAGCAACAGGAGAGCTAGGCTGGGCTGTGTTGACTCATGGGGAGTCAGAGAAAAGGGGCCTTGGAGACAGGTTTGGGAGTGAGCCCTGGAAGAGGTGCTGCTGCCCACTGCTCCCCTGGTTGCAGGCCTCACCTTGGTGAGGTCCCTTAGAGGCTGGGAAGGAGATTGTGGGGGGAGGAGAGAAGGAAGGGAATGGGGACCCGGGCATGTGTCCTGAGGGAGAGCGCCTGTGGTTGTAACCTTTGAAAAGCAAAATTTAAAGGGGGGAGTTATTGTTTTAAAAAGTTAAGCCTCTTTGTCGCAGATGAAATTTTGGCTACAGATACATTATAAATATATATAATGCTCTGAATTGTACACCAATGGCTAAAATGATACTGTGGGATGCATACTTTACCACACACGCCCAAACTAAAACCATCATAACGCGACACCTTTCACACTGATGGAGTCCAATTCCATCCTTCCTTGCAGAAAGAAGTTTGCTAGTATTCCCGACCCCATGCTTCGCTGGATGTGAATTTTGAGCGCAAAAGAAAGCCAGCCACTGCTTTAATTTAAAAGGAGGAAACCTTAACATCACTCATTCCTTTTCACGTCACACTGTTGATGTGAGGCATGTCCAAACCTGTGAAGAATGTTTATGAGCGTATTTGAGCTAACCTGATGGCAATTGCAGGGAATCAAAATCTCAATGAATCAAGAAAAGCTCCAGAGAATGGCAGTTTTGAGGCTTATTTTATACCTCAGAACCAGAGGAGGGAGGGTAGGGTGGGTTACAGAAAATCTATTGGTGGTGGGTTTATGGGATGGAAGAAAGCAAAGGCGGAAGTAGGGGTGGCGGGGCGGAGCCGGGGGAATCTCTGAGACTGGATGAAGAGTAAAACAGGATGCGTGCTCCTTTTACAGGACGGTGAGCAGTTACAGCACGTAGAGATGGTATGTGGAGGAACAAGATAACAGGGGCTTCTGTGTGCTCAGCTCTGGTTCCTTGGGTGTGCCCTGAGGGGTCTGGGAAAGATTACTGTAACATTTCAAAGGAATGCTGCCTAAGATGCAAAAAGACAGACTCACTTAGGAAGGGTTGACCTTTGTCAAGGAAGCTCCAGGCCCAGGACGGGCTACGGGCCATGACCTGCTTTTAGTTAGAAATTATGTTCGCACTGCCTATGTGGTTACTTTCCGTCTGTGTTTACAAGGCGTCACGCAGGCCTCCCCTGAGCTTATCAGGTTTAGTATGTGGTCCCTTTTATTGCCAGAGCACTGGCATACTATCGATAACACGTAGTAATAGTACTAGTACATCCCAGAACTTAGCTGGTATTTTGTTTCTATTAAGTCCCAAAATTTTTCACATTTCTTTTTTGAAAGTTAGTAGATCTCTCAGATGCTACATCCTCAGTTAGGCTGTGATGAGCTGGAAGTGGCAAAGTTAGGATCCGATCCCAGTCTCATCGTATCACTGTACTGGGCTACCTCTACAGAACGTAAGCCAAAAAATAAAGTGATCACATGGCGGGGGGGAGGGGGGAGGGCAAACACAAAACTTTAGGCCCTGGCTGGGCAGCTCAGTCAGTTAGAGTGTTGTCTCAATACACTGAGGTTGCAGGTTTGATGCCAGGTCAGGGCACATCCAAGAATTAATCAATGAATGCATGGATAAGTAGAACAACAAGTCCATGTCCTCTCTTGCTTTAAAATCAATAAATTAAAAAAAATTAATGATACATGTGTTGCTAAAGCATTCAGGGGTCAGATAAACTGTTGGCAAATTACTTTGAAATTCCTAGAAAAAGGAGCTGGATGGACAGGTGGAGAGAAACGTAATAAAGCAAATTGAACCCAGGGGCACATGGCAGCTCCCCAATAACTCCCTCAGCTTTACTGAAATTTGGAATTTTGAAAATTGTCATAAAACTAGCAGAAAAGTGGATGAAGTAAAAAGCAGGAAGGTGATGGTTATTAAATGATATTGGTGATCGTACTTAGTCTACTTTTGTATTTGAAAACTTCTTTGCTAACTGACAAATAGAACGATGCTACTGGCTTCTTAAAGGCAGGAGGAAAAGGGTTTAAAAGAGCGGAAGTAGAGTTAGGGTTTGTTTCAGAATCTGCTTTTAGATGGGAGTTCCCAGGGATTGGATGGGCCATTTTCAGGCTTTCCCTGGCTGAGGCCCACCCTGTCCAGGGTCCAGGCCAGCTGTTCGGAGGTTACCTTCTCCCCACCCCCCTCAGCCTCCGGGAAGTAAGCCCAGACAGGCCCCTCCTCCCCACATCTGGTACTGATGTCAACAGCCAGGGTGGGCGGGGGCCGTGTTTTTCAGCTCCCGCCCAGCCTCCAGGGAAGGGTGGACGCCCCCATCCCCGCCCCTTACTCACAATGTCAGACACTGTCACACACACCAGGCTCTGCCACGGGGCTGGACCACAGGCCAGAAACAAACTTTTATTACAAAACAGGGACCTTCGAGTCACAAGGCCAGCAGATCTGGTCTCTTCCCTGACACAGGGAGTTGAAATCTGTTCCCCACTCGTCCCTCTAGCCCCTTCCCCCATTTCTACGTGGGACTTTGAGTAGGGACCGTGGGTCAGTATGTGTTGAGGGGGTAGGAGAGGATTCCAACATGGTTATATAACCTGGTCCGAGGGTCCCCATGTGTCCTATTTTACTTGGTTCCAGCTCTGTGTGTGTGACTGCACAATGGGGGTATGTCCGTATTTGGGAGAATTTGGGGACCAGGGCGCTTAGAAAGGGTCCTTGAAGGCTGAAGGTGCGAAGGCCAGGGCGTGACTGCCTCAGCAGGAGTCAGGACGAGGCCAGCTGTGCACTGGCTGTGTGGTCCAGTGGCTGGGAGCACATGGCAGGTGAGTCACATTCCTGTATAAGATATGGACCCGAGGGCTGAGGACAGTCTTTCTGCGAGGTGACATGACCCAGGAAGGTGCATGCTCCCTGCCTCGGGGGTACTGTTAAGTGTGCTTAGTGAAGAGGGCCTGTGGGCCGAGTTGGCAGCTGAACTCCCACACATGGGTTGTGAGTCCAGGGGACTTACGTTGTATGCACGTTGGTGGATCATCTGGGCATGTGGTTATGACTCCAGAAAGACTGAGTTTATGTCTATAGAAAGCTTGTGTGGCTGAGTCGCCTTGTGGTTGTGTATGGGTGTGTGGGTCAGTGAGTGTGGCCCTGTGGACGAGTATCTGTGTAACTGACTCTCAAAAGCAACTACAGGTGTGTGCGTGTGGTTTCCCGTGGTGTAGACATAGCTCTGGACACGGTCTTGTCCAGGCCCAAGGTCGAGACTGCTACCTCCCAATACCCTCTCCTTCATTTGTTCCACACGATGGGGTGGGATGGAGGTCAGCGGGGCCGAACTTGCAGCTGGAAGGCTGGAGGGATGTTGAAAAGGCCACTGACAGCTGGCTGGAGACTCAAGGCACCCACTGGGTACGGGCTCTCCAGGGAGAAGGCCTGCAGGATGGCAGTGACGAGAAGGAACAGCTCCGCTCGTACCAGGCCCTCCCCAGGGCAGATGCGCTTCCCTGGAGGAGAGAGGGAGATAGGGCTGGGCTAACCTCCGCACACCCCAGCCAGCGGGTGCGCAGGAGCCAGCCCAGTAGATACCTAAGGAGAAGGGCAGGAATGCCTCCTGCCTCTTGAACCTTCCATCTGCATCCAGAAATCGGCCTGGGTTGAACTCCTCTGGCTGTGTGAAGACTTCCGGGTCATGCAGGACAGAGCCCAGGAGGGGGAAGACCTCAGTGCCCTGGGGGGAAATCATAACAGAACTACAAATATCTCTCACCACCAAGTTCTGGGCGGCAGAGCACAGGAATCTGCACTGTCGCAGACACCGGTTCACAAAACGTAACAGCATCCACATGTAACAAGCTTATTATGGGCCAAGCAGTTTATTAAGCATTTTATGTATTTTACCTCACATGTAATAGGTACATGTCTTCTGCTTACACACACACAAGCACACATATAAACTCACTATATGTTTTAACAAGCCTAGGAAGCAGTTACTAATATGATCCCCATTTTAAGGCCCAAGGAACTTAAGCAATTTGCCCAAGGCAATATTTGACACAGCAAGAGCTTGTTATTTCTATCTATCTATTTATTTTTATTGATTTCAGAGAGGAAGGGAGAGGGAGATAGAGATAGAAACATCAATGATGGGAGATAATCATTGATCAGCTGCCTCCTGCACATCTCCTATGGGGGATTGAGCCTGCAACCCAGGCATGTGCCCTGACTGGGAATCGAACCAAGGACCCTTCAGTCCATAGACCAATGCTCTATTCACTAAGCCAAACCAGCTAGGGCCAGAGCTTGTTATTTTTAAAGTAGAGGCCTGGTGCACAAGATTTTGCACTTGGGCTGGGCATTCCTCAGCCCTGCCTGCGCCATTTCTCAGTTCGGGAGCCCTTGGGGGATGTCCAACTGCCAGCTTAAGCCAGCTCTCCACCGTGAGCCCAGCTTCTGGCTGAGCAGCACTCCCCCAGTGGAAGCATACTGACCACTAGGGGGCAGCTCCTCTGTTGAGTGTTTGCCCCCTGGTGGTCAGTGCGATAACGACCAGTCATTCCACCCTTGGGTCAATTTGCATATTAGCCTTTTTATTATATAGGAATATAGGATTGTTTTAAACTTTGAGGTATGCTGTGATTCTGGAGGCCTGGAGTTCAGCTCTTTGCCACTCTGGTCTTCAGGAGGTGAAGGCTAGGGTAGGTGGGTGAGGGTGTGTACAAAGGCAGGGAGAGTGGCAGCCCCTTGAGCTGAGATCAGAGTTGCCATGTTCCTAGGACTGTGTTGGAAGGTGGAGAAAGGTAGGGAGTGAGGAGAGCGAGGGACTTCCATTGCTAGGAACTCTGGCTAATGGACTCTGAGCCGGGGAGATGAGGGGACTACAGGAAAAGATAGGGTCATGCTATTGCTATTAAAACAAAAGAAAGGCAGATAGCTGTGGTTAAAGCATAGGCTTGAGTTAATAGCTTTCCCTGACCACTTGTAGGCTGGCTGAGCCTGGCAAGGCTTCTAACCTTTTTAAAAAATATATATTTTTATTGATCTTAGAGAGTAAAGGAGAAGGATAGAGACATAGAAACATCAATGATGAGAGAGAACCATCGATCTGCTGTCTCCTGCACGCCCCCACTGGGGGATCGAACCCACAACCTAGGCATGTGCCCTTGGACAGAATTGAACCTGGGACCCTTCAGTTCACAGGCCGATACTCTTATCCACTGAGCCAAACCAGCTAGGCCTCAGTTCTCATCTGTAAGATGGGCTTGTTAGTAGTGTAGGATTGCTCTGAAATTTAAACATCTGGCACAGAGCAGATCCTCAATCATTATTACTGTTGTCACCATCAGTAGTGGTTGTCATTGCACAGTCACTGTGTTAACAATAGTCCCTGCTGCTGCCTCATGCACAAGACTGCCACCCCCCAGGTACCGAGGGCCACATTGGTGCTTTACTGGCATAGCCTCATAAGACTCCTTGCAATCCTGGTTAATACTATTACCTTTCCCAATTTAGAAGAGGGATAGATGGAGGCTCAGAGGGGGAAGTGATTTGCCCAAGGTCCCAGATAAAAGACTGGATTGCAACTGCCAAGAGTATATTCTACTACAATGAAGCTCAAGAAGGAAGCAGTTTGTCTGAAGGAGCCATAGGTTTCTGAGGAAACATCGCCCCCTGGTGGTGGTAGCACCAAGTTGCTCTTTAGTAAGGGATAGGAACTGAGATGGGGAGGAGGAGGTGGAGGATGAAAAGGAGGAGGGGGAGAAGGAGGAGAGGGAGGAGGAAGAAAAAGAGAAAGAAGAGGAGTAGGAGAAGGAGAAGAGAGGAGAAAGATACAGAAAGAGAAAGACCAAGATCCAGAAAAAGTCAGAGAGACACAGATAACAAAAGACTTAGGCCTAAGGCAGATATACTACTGGGCATGGCTGCACTGAAGACCCACCTGGGGCAAGGTGTACCCTCGGAAGCAGGTGGTCTTCGTGAGGGCTCGGGGTATCCCCATGGGCACCAGTGCCAGCAGCCGCTGTGCCTCATGCAGAACCGCGTCCGTGTACGGGAGGCGAGCTCGGTCCCCCAGGCCTGGCGCCCGGCCAGCACCCAGCTCCCTTGTCAGTTCCTCGTGCACGCGCTCTGCGGCAAGAAGAGAACTGGAGGTCAGAGGAGGGGTAGGGAATCAAACCTGGGACTCTTCAGTTCGCTCTATCCACTGAGCCAACCCAGTAAGGGCTCCTTGGAGCTTATTACCAGCTCTATACTGCTCCTCACCATCCCAGCTTCAGTTCCTGCCTGTGCTCTCAGGACCCCAATTTGTTTTCCAACTCCTGCCCCGGCCCTCCTGGGTGCCTCCTCACAAGTGGTCCCAGGCCCCTCACACTTCAGGTGTCCCAGACTGGCCTCAGTCTCTTCCCTGAGACAGTCTCTCATCCTTTCTGTTCCCATCTTGGGGTAGCCCTCCGGGCCTGCAGGCCCCTGGCCAGAGCCCTGGGCCTGTCCCTGGATGTATCCCTCTGCATCTCTCTCTACCACCTGCCTACTGGGCCTCTTCTTTTCTCCCCACTGTTTGACCCAGCCCTGTCCTCTCCCACTCCGGTTCCTACCCAGGCTTCCCACCTACTTCATGCAAGCCCAAAGAATTTTTTTAAAATGCTAATTGGCCCCACCTCCCCATTCAATATCTTTCCATGGATCCCCATTGCCCAGGATTAAGGGACAAGGCCCCGGAGACATCTCCTGCCTCATTTCTCACTACCAGCAGTCCCTCTGCTTCTCGGTCCTCGGACATCCAACATGCCTGGCTCTTGGTCACCTCCAGCCCCTGGCTCAGGCTGCCCACTCTCCTGAACATTCTTCCTCTCCAGCTCTCGCTTTTGTTACCAGGGCCTGGCAGGCAGAAAAGGCTCCTACCTTGGACCTGAGGGTATTTCAGCAGGAGCAGGAGGATGTAGCGGACCGTGGAGCTGATGGTCACCGTCCCCGCGAACAGCAGATAAATGACGGTCATCAGCATGTTCTTGTCGGTGAATTCTGTGTTTGAATCGCATTCCTCCTGGAAGAAACCGGGCAGAGGGACTCAGAGAACACAGCCTGCAGGTGGCGGGGGCCGCGCAGCTGGGCTTGGGGTAGCACAGCAAGTTCAAGTTTGGTCAAGGAGTTTAAATAAATGTTTGGAAAAGCCAGGATGTGGGCTCTTGATATTATTCTGTTTGGTTGAAATGTTTTTACAAATGAAAGAGAATGACCACATAAACATGCAAACAGAAAATGACAAGTGCTGGTGGGACATGGAGAAAGGGGAACCACGGTCGCCATTGGTGAGAATGTAAAATGGTGCAGCTGCTCTGGAAAATGGTATCACAGTTTCTCAAAAGAAAATTCAAATAGAATAATCCAGCAATTCTACTTCTGGATTTATCTCCAAAAAGACTGAAAGCAGGGTCTCGAAGAGATTATTTGTGTACTCATATTCACAGTGCTGTGAGCCACAGTCACTAAAAGGTGGAAGTAAGCCACGTGCCCTTGCTGGATGAATGCATACTTGAAATGTGGTCTATCCATACAATGGAATAGGATTCAGCCTTAAAAAGATTATATCCCTTGCCCAGTTAGTGTGGCTCAGTGTTGGAGCATCTACCTATGAACCAGGAGCTCACAGTTCAATTCCTGGTCAGGGCACATGCCTGGGTTGTGGGCTTGATCCCCAGTGTGAGGTGTGCAAAAGGCAGTCAATCGATGATTCTCTCTCATTATTATTTTTTAAATATATCTTTTATTGATTTTTTATAGACTGGAAGGGAAAGGAATAGTTCGAAACAATAATCAGCTGCCTCTTGCACACCTCCTACTGGGGATGTGCCCACAACCAAGGTACATGTCCTTGACCAGAATCGAACCTGGGACCTTTCAATCCACAGGCGGATGCTCTATCCACTGAGCAAACTGGTCAGGGCGATTCTCTCTCATTATTGATAATTCTAATCTCTCTCTCCCTCTGCCTTTCTCTCTGAAATCAATAAAAATATACTTAAAAAAGAGAAAGGAAATCCCATCATATGCTATAATGTAGATGGACCTGAGGACATGATGCTAAATGCAATAAAGTAGTTATGGTTCCACTTACACGAGGCACCCAGAGAAGGCAAGTTAATGAAGACAGAAAATAGACTGGTGCTTGCCAGGAGCTGGGGCCGGGGGAATGGGGCGATGCTGAGAGGATAGCACTTCAGCTTTGCAAGTTGGAAGGAGTATTTGGTTGCACAACAATATAAACACACTTAACACTAGTGAAGCGTACACTCAAAAATGGTTAAGATGGTGAATTTTATGTTATGTGTACTTTACTACAATTATTTTTTTAATTAAAAAGGAATAAAGAATTGGGGCCACACAGATAAGAAAAAATTCTCTCTCCATGAACAAGGTGGATAGCTCCCATAATTCCAAAGTTTGTACAATGCAAAATTAGTTATTTCCACAGGAGTCCCCTGAAATCTCCTTTTCTCACATAACAATAAATTGTTCTTATATAATTAATAAATCAGACTTTATTAGTATAAGGGGCTAATGCAAGTTTTCATAAGGAAATAACTAAGTCTCAGGAAGTGTCCTGTGTGGGTAGGGGGAGCAGGGGTGGGGAGTGAGGTGAAGGAATGATGGCCATTGCTAGTGGCAGGTCACTGGGCCTGGGGTGAGGCTGGAGGGCGGAGAAAGGAGAAATGCAGGAGACTCAGATACTCATGACGTGCGGTGGGGAGAGGCAGGGAGAACAATGCACCGGAAAGAGGAGATGTGCACACACATGCACAGACACACCGGGGTGGCAGGCAGCCAGGCCACCGTCCCCATTCAGGAGCGGCTACAAACCTCCACCTCCCCTCACCTTTGCCATCTTCAGCAGGAAGGCATCCACAACGTCGCGTGGAGGGCCCGCGGGGTCCAGGCTCCCCCGGTGCCGCTTCACCTGCTCCATGGCGAAGGTGGCCACGATGTCCACGTGGCTGAGGAGTTGGGCTTGGGAGCCTGGGAGGCGCTGCAGGAGCCAGGAGAACATCTCATAGGCCTGTGGGGAGAAGGGCAGCTGTTTCCATGGGGCCTGGCCCTGCATCCAGGTGGAGGGGCAGGCGGCTGGGTGCTCTGGGGGTTACCTGGAAGAGGTAGGCAGGAATGTTTGGGGAAAGTGGTTGAAGAGGGGTCTCACAGCTTACCTGGCCCCAAGGGGAGCTGATCCCGAGCAGGATGCCACCGGCAGCCTGGACCACAGCCTGGAAATCCTTATCCTCGTAGGGGAAACGGAGGCCCACAGTGAGGGAGCAGACAACGTTGGAGGTGGCCTGAGCCAGCAGCAGGGAGGGGTCAAATGGCTGTCCTGGTGGGGAGGGGGCAAGGAGGAGTGTGGTGATGGAATCGGAGAGGACCGACTCCATGGGGGCCAGAAACAATCACCAAGAGAAAGGCATCAAGACAGAGACAGACAGACAGACAGGGACAGAGAAACAGACAAGGACAGAGAGAAAGAGACAAATAGGGACACAGACAGGCAGGCAAGGAGAGAGACAGAGAAATTTACAGGAGAGAAAAACAAGTGGAGAAAGAAAGAGGCAGAAAAGTGCTTGTGATGATACCAGGGACAAAGAGACTCTTGTCAGGGAGACGGCCGGACAGAGACAGAATAAAAGAGGAGCTAGAGGTGGAGGTGCATAGAGCCCCAGCCCAGCCATCATGGGAGAGGAGCTTGGGGACCCGGGGCTGCCCCTGCCCTGCTCACCTGCTGTTCCCTGGAAGGCCTCCACCAGACACTGGGCCTCGGCCTGGATCAGCTCCTCGCCTTCTCGCTTCCCCATGCCCAGGTCCCGCAGAGTGAGCAGGGTAAATCTCCTCAGCTGCCTCCAGCGCTCCCCGTTGGAGAAGAAAAGCCCTGCACGGAAGGCTAGACTCAAGGAGGGACCCGCCCCTCTCTCCATTCCCCCGGACTACCCCTTCCTCCCAGTGAAGTGCCCAGAGGGGGTTCTTCAGGCCTGTCCTGAGTCTACCGAGTCCGGAGATAAGGACTCAGTAGATGCTTAACAAATACCTGTCCTTGGGGCACGGGTGACATTTTCCTGAAAAGTTGGTAACTGTGATCAACCAGGTGAGTGAAGACTCCTTCCTTCCTTCCTTCCTTCCTTCCTTCCTTCCTTCCTTCCTTCCTTCCTTCCTTCCTTCCTTCCTTCCTTCCTTCCTTCATCTTTTTACTACTCTTTTCACCCACCCATACCTTTATTCTTCCTTGCTCTTCATCCTTCCCTCCATTAATGTTTACGGAGTACTGTGTGGTCCCTGTCCCACGTTGTCTGGAGGTTGAACAGGGAGGGAAGAGGATGCAGTGGCAGTTTTCCTCCCTCATCTCAGAGACCTGCCCTGGATAGACCTGTCCCCACTCTGAGCTCAGTGTTCCCACTTGTAGCATTCTGGTCTGTATTGCCTTTAGGATGCCTCCTCCCAAGTGTTCCCCACCCACTCATCCCTCCACTGTGTCCCCAGTTGGTCTCAGCATCTCTCCTCCCTCCTGTTCTTAGCCTCACCACCCCTATCCCTGTTTGGAGTCATGGACTCTCCCCTACCTCCACTCCCCATTCCAACACCAAGGCCCAGCCATGATCCAGCCCAGCCCCCTCCCTGGTTTCCTACATAGCAACCAGGGACCTTTCTAACCCTGTACCCTTACCTTGCTTACTATCTATTGCCCCTCCAGAAAACCCAAAGCCCAAACACAGTGTAGGACTTAGGCCCTGCCCGACCTGAGTCATGAAGCTAACTTCAGCTTCATTACTCATCCCACTACAGTTGTACTGCCTTCTCTCAGTTCCTCAGAGGTGTCAGGATTCCCCTTCTATGCCTGTTCCCCTGCCTGGATCACTCAGCTCTCCACCCTCCCTGAACTAACTCCATTTATTCTTCATGTCTCAACTCAAATGTCATCTCCTCTGAGAAGCCTTCCCAGATTTCTCCCATTCTCCCCCACACTGTAAGGGGGACACCACATCTTTCTCAGTTACTTCTGTATCCCCAGCACCCAGCGCAGGACCAGGCATAATGAAAACCTGTCAGCTGAATGGGTGAACACTTCTCACGCCCATGCTGGTCTCCACCAGGAACACCTTTCCCACTCATCCTGTGAGTCTCCGCTCAGATTCTCCACCTTTCCCGAAGACACCCCCAGCAAACAGGCTGGGTCAAGAGCCTCCTCCTATTCCTAGAGTCCCAGGGCCTCCCCCATCCTGGCCCTGACCCCTCTGCCAGCCCCTCCCTCATTCCTGATCTCTCCAGACTGTCACTTTCTGGTGACAGGTCTGTCTCCCCACAGGTGAGTCTCTGTGAGGAAGCCAGACTGGGCTGTTTAGTCACTGCTGGGCGGGACTCAGACTTAGCACAGATAATAGTTTCTACATTTGGTGTTTACACATCAGTTAAGGCCCAGTGCCTAGAAAGTTTGCCCCTCCCTCCCTGCCCTGGGGGTTTCACCTGGACCAGAGATAACCCTACACACCCTGGGGACTACCAAGTGCTTGCTTGGTGCAAAGCCCAGTCCTCATTCAATCCTCACTGCATCTCCACGTCCAGGCACTGTTATCATTCCATTTTATGAAGGAGGAAACCGAGGCACTATGCCCTGCAGGAAGGTCACGTGCACGAGGAAGCAGGCTCCCCTCATGACTCACCATGGCCGTCGAAGGTGGGGTCCAGTGTTGCCAATATTCCCCGCCCACTGAACTCCTCAGCCTGGCCTCCCAGGGCCTCCTGCACAGCCTCGTGCCCAACCAGGACTACTACGCGCCGCCAGGGTCCCAGGTGCACGGTGAACACCGGTCCATACTTCTTACTCAGCTGGGGACAGAGTGAGAAAAGGGGTGATGCCTCTTCCAGTCTCCAAGTCCCCATCATGGCCCCTGTCGCTGGATGGGCCACCTGCTAGAAACTACCCCCCTACCCCCACCCACCCAGGTCTGCAAACTCTCTCCTCAGCTCTGGCTAGCCACTATCCTGTCACCTCCTGCAAAACCTAACTTTTGACTTGGGTAAGGTGACCAGACCTCCCGCTTTTGGCGGGACTGTCCCGATTTTGGGGGGACAGTCCCGCCAAAAGCGGGAGGTCTGGTCACCTTAGACCTGGGGCAACCCAGAACCCTCCTCTGCCCTCCCAGTTCAGGCGTGAGGCAGCAGAGATGGGCAGCTGCCATTCTGGCCTCCCATAGCTCCTCAACTCTCCGCACCCACAACGCAAGCCACCCTTTCTGTCACTGCTAAATCCTCAGATTCTGAAGCACATACTGCTGGGCATCTACCATCCCCTCCCCAGGACACCCCTCCAAACCCCCAAAGCCTGGAAGGCGCCCAGATTCCTGTGGCATGGGGAGCCTCTGGCTTCTTCCACCCACTCCCCACCCCAAAGGTTGGGACTGCTTCACGTTCTTTCTCGCTCTCCCACCCTCCTCTGTCCCAGGAGCTCGCAGCTCCACCTGCCCCGCACCTCCACCCCTCTGTGCCCTGCAGGCAGGTTCCTGGAACCCTCCAGCCCCGGCCTCCACTTCCCCCCTCCCCCCAGGGACCCCTTCCAAGTCTTCTCGGCCCGTCCTTAGGAGAGAGAGCGCACCGGCCTCTCCCCAGCAGTTCCTCTCCCGGGACAAACCCGACACCATCCCGCTGTCAGCGCCTCTCCTGGCTCCCGGCTCCCCTGCCCGCTGCCTCCGCCCCAGGATTCTGAAGGCTCCTTTGCCCTAGGACCCCTGCTCCTGGATCCCGCTTCCCTGCTCCTCTCCCCACCCCCCCTTCCACAGTTCTGTCCCTTCTCTCCCCAGGCAACGCCCGGCCCTGGGTCTCTGCCCCCGCCCCACCCCAGAGATCGCGGCCCCTCTGCCTGGGACCCGTGCTTGTCTCCTCCCTGGGACCCCGAAACCTCTCTGCCCGCCACTCTCGTTTCTCTCCTCTTAGCCCCCTCCCTGTCCTGGACCGGCATCCCTGCCCGTCCCCCAACCCCTCCAACCAGGGCACCCCGCCGCTCCTCACCCGCAGGAGCCCCGAGTACAGCGCCCCCGGCCGGAGCTGCAGGAGGTTGCCCAGCAGCGGCAGCGGCGCGGGCCCGGGGGGCAGGCGGCCTCGGGTGCGGGTCGCGGACAGCGCCAGCGGCAGCAGCAGGAGCAGCAGCAGCAGCAGCAGCGCCCAGGTGCCGGCCGCCTCCATCTCCGCAGGTTGGCTCCGTCCCCAGCTCCCGGACGCTCCCCGCCGAGGGCAGCTCCCTTCCAACTAAGTCAGGTGGGGGAGGCGGGGCCGCAGATCCCCACCCTGCCTACGGCGGGATTCTCTCCCCGCCGCCAGATTTCTTTCTCCCGGACCACCGCCCGGGGTCAGGGACACACTCCCTCCGGTCTCACAGCGCCTGGGGCCCCTGTGAGGCGTGGACAGACTGTGGGAACCTGGAAGCCGGGGACTTGGCAGCAGCCTCTAGGAGGCCACACCCAGAGCCTGGCGGTGATCACCCCCGCCCCCTGCGTTCTCCCCCGCACCCCTCTCGCTATTGCCATCCCCAGGTCCCACCTCCCTTCCCATTGTTATCAGGGTCCAGCTCTTGGGCGCTCCGAGCTGCCACGGCAGCTCCCTTCGGGTTCGCCTGTGCCCACCCGCGTGGGGTCTTTGAGCCTGTTTCCTCCGCACCGGACATCTCCCCCGGGAGCTGGGAAGAGGGGCCTGACCTCTCACAATAAGGAATGTGAAGTTCGGACATGTAAATCCTAGGCCACATAGCTGGGATTCGAACCCAGGCCAGTCTGAATGATCGGCTGAATCATTCCTTTATTGAGCGGTATGTATCGTGGTTAGGGCCATCAAGTCTGAAGCCAGGCTACCTGAGTTCTGTGGATAAAAAAGGGGCCACATGCTCACCTGACAAACCCTGGGGCGGCCTTGCAAACTCAGGGACCTACAGGAACACAAAAGATGGTTTGAAATGAAAACTTTTTAACTAAAAGCAGTTGATAGTCACGTCTTAGGCTAGACTCTTTCCTGACAAAAGTCAAACTTGTCCTTAACTAAGCCTGTCTTATCTTTGGCACCTGGGAGAGCACACCTTTGGAATGTCAGGGTAATGCCCTGACATTCTGGAGACCATAAATCCTCTCACTGATCTGTTCATTGTTGACTGTTACTAATCCTGTACCACCTGTGCAAAAGAATGTGTCTGTCATTTTACTTTTTATCCAACCCCAGAGGTTTCCCGCTTCGCTTTCTCCCACCTCTTTAATCACGAATGAATTTCCTGTAACCCACTTACGTCTTCTCTTTTGACTTCAATGTATATATTTTATGTAATGATTTTATGTAATGACTGTAATGTGAAACTGCCATTCTCTGGAGCATTATCTCAATCCGTGGAGTTTTTGCTTCCCAGCAATTGTTGACAGTTTGGCTCAAATAAACTCACAGAAATTCTCTATAGGTTTGAATGCTTCTTATATTGACAGTTCACAGTCTAGCTTCTGTGTCCCTTTGTTAAGTCTTGTAAAATAGGGATCGTTTTAAAGATTAAGTAGGTGTACGTGTGTCCACAATTTAAAACAGAGCCAGGTGAATATAGAACAAGTGTTAAAGGCATGTTAGCTAATATCCTTTCAGTTAATTGTTATTGAGGTCTAACTACAAACAAGACTTTCTTTTAGACCTAGGGATGCAGCTCTGAGCAACAGAGAAACGGGCCCCGCCTCCTCCCTGAACTCTTATCCACAAGCAAATGAAGTTATAAATTAAGATGGTCTTGACCATGGCTGGTGTGTTCAGTGGTTAGAGTGTCAGCGCTGGAACCCAAGGGTTCAGTTCCCATCAAGGGCACATACCTGGGTTGCGGGATTGATCCCTGTCCAGGTCAGGGTGTTTTGGGAAGGCAACCAACCGATGTGTCTCTCTCACATTGAAGTTTCTCTCTCTGTCTCTCCTCATTCCCTACCTTTCACTCTCTAAAAAATCAATGGGGGAAAAAGATAATTTCAGGTAATGCAAAGGCCTGCCGGGGGATGGGCTTGTTGAAGAAGATGGTTACAATGTCGGTCCATGTTGTTTGGTTCAAAGCTGTACCCCTAGGGTCTAGAGCAGTGCCTGGCACACAAGAGGTGTTCAATAATATTTGATGCGTCAAAGATTGAATTTAGGAGATGAGGTCAGTGAGGTTGAGAGAGGCCAGTAAGCCAGGGCAAGTAAATAGGGAAACTGAGATAGATAGCTGAACAAACTGACAGCAATTTATAGCAGATGCAGAAGATCACCTCCCTAGAGATAATATTTCAGTCCCAGGCCCAGAAAAGCATTAAAATTAGGTGGCTGATGCCAGGACCAGCTCCAATGACTGATCACCTCCTGCTCTAACACTGACCAATAAGTGGAAACCATGACCCTGGAGGAGCACACCTAGAAACTGATGAATGACCCACTGAAACCCTCTCTGACACCTCCTATAATATTCCTGTCTGCAAGAGAGAGATAAAGCCTCAAGACGAAGGACCCTGCAACCCAGGTACATGCCCTCGGCCCTCAGTGCCTGGGGATGTGGTGGGGGGAGGTATCACTCTAACCACTGAGTCCACTGGCCTTCCCATCAGAAGTGTTCTAGTGTTATTGAGAAGAGTTCCTATGCCAGCCAGTTGAACTCGGTAAAACCTCCATATAATGGCCTAATTCAGGTGGTGGGGGGTCTGTTAAAGCCCATTTATAATAAAGTAGGTTTTCCAAATGCACAAGTTAGAAAATTGACAAATTAGTTAATTTATCTATATTTTAGTTACTTAGACACATTTGTGTAATTAAAATTAAGTATCTACAAAAAGTTTAATTTTACAGAAAAGTTTTCTATATGTATTACTATAATTCTAAATTTATACTGAATAGGTCTAGTAAATGGATGCATTCACCAGTCATTGTGGGTAAATAAATGCACACAGCTGGAGCCTGGCTTAGCACACATTGGAACATAAGCCAGCACGCCATTAAAACTGCTGCAGACACACTGGCCAGTGTTGCTCAGAAGTTAGAGTGATGCCCCTCTCCCACCCCCCACCCCCAAGGAGAGGGCACTGAAGAGTTGGGGGTTGAGGGTTCAGTTCCTGGCCAAGGGCATGTACCTGGGTTGCAGGTTCAATCCTTGGCCCTGGTCAGGATGCATGCAGTAGGGAACCAATCAATAAATGTTTCTTTCTCTCTCTCTCTCCCCCCTCCTCCTTCTTCTTATTCTTCCACTCTCTCTAAAAATCAATGAAAAAATATCCTCAGGTGAGGATTAACAATAATAACAAAAACTGCTGCAGAAAGTCATTTGAAGCAGCAACAAAACTGATTACTACACAAGGATGTGGTGTGATCACTTGCTAATCATTCGCCGAACATTGCTTATGAGAGATGATTCTTGGATTTAAATATGTTAGATTATAGTTGTAGGTATGTCATATTTATTTATGTCAGTAAAATTACTACAGTGTTTTTTCCAACATATATGGCCTTTTTGCTAAAATTTGTTAAAAATAACAGTGAAATATTAACAAAAAATAACCTGTTAATTTATTTATTTATTTTTATTTTTTTATCAAATTATTATCTGTGTACATATTTTAACATTGCCCACCCTCCCTTACATACCCTCCCTCCCCAGAATTTTATGACCATTGGAAAAAATAACCTGCTAATTTAATTATAATCAAATCTTGATTAAAAATATTTTAAAATCAACTGGGTTTTAATTTTCCCCTATGACTTACATGCCAGAAATTTTGTCTGTTAAATCCTAAGTCCTTTAAATCGAGGTCCGAAAAGTTGATGGTTTACTGCACGAAGGATTTAAGCTTAGGATTTAACCGAGATGCCTGGGTTTTAAGATACAAAGTAGAAGATCACATTTTCCATCCAAAATACAAGGGAACCATATGAGGCCATAAATGTCTAGCGTGGGCTTCTGCAACCAGGATAGTTGGCCATTGTTTCATAGCTACTTCTGGGGAATTATAAGGGAGATGTTCTTGGAGGTATTTGCCCAAAATGGGTCCTATTAATAGTTCCAAAAAAAAGTACTAAAGCTTATATTAATAGTAAGAGAAGACTAATTGTGTGGTTAACAAAGCGTTAACTTCATTGTCACAACTGATAATCAGAATATCATTGTCTAGTAGGTGGGAAAGACTAGCAGGTACACAAATTAAGATTTTCATATCTGTCTCTTGAACTTATAAAAGATAATATTTTATTGATTTAATAGAAGCAAAGAGCATTCTCAGGTCTGGATAATGTGACTGTTCAATGCTGCCTGCCTAGCAATGGTAAAATCATTTCCTTTATAATGCCCTAGAATTTTGATAATCGCCAGGTTTTTTTTGGTTGCTATATGGCATCTAACAATTCCATAACCAGTTTTCCATTTTTGTGTGGGCTGCCCTGTGGAAGTTAAGAAGCCTTGCTGCTTATAAAACATTCCAAAGTCATAACCTACACCAAATGCATAGTGACTCTCAGTGTAAATATTGGCTAGTTGATCTTTGCCCAATTGACAAGCCCAAGCTAGAGCAATTAGTTCAGCTTGCTGGGCAGATTTATTTCAGGTAAATAAGAACTTTGGTTATAACCAGTTTGGCTCATTGGATAGAGTGTCAGCCTGCAGACTCAAGGGTCTCAGGTTTGATCTAGTCAAGGGCATGTAACTTGGTTGCAGGCACATCCCTCGGGAGTGTGCAGGATGCAGCTGATCAATGTTTCTCTCTAATTGATGTTTCTAACTCTCTATCCCTCTCCCTTCCTCTCTGTAAAAAAAATCAATAAAATACATTTTAAAAAAAGAACTTTTGATTATGACCACCCTGGAAGTTATACCCAGCTCAATAATGTCCCTATTCATCTCTCAAATAATATCCACCTGTAAACCAAGTGAAGTCACCATTATTAATAAGAGTTTCCTGTAAACAATTCCTAGGAACAAGAAGGTGGTCAGTAAGCAAAACACCATTGTGGGTTTTTTTTTATGCTGTAAAGAGGGGGGAAAAGTTGCAGGATTAAGGTCATTACACCAAATTTAAGTAATATTAGGTGCAAAGAGCAGGAGTACTTCATAAGAAGCCAGTCAACTGACAGAGAAGTGTTGAGTGTGATGAGAATTCGGTAAATATTCAATAGAATGAAGAACATGAATAGTTAAAAGAGAGCCCATAACTCTCTCT